AAGCACTATACATTTACAAGCATAAACATTACTTTAGGATTCGAACACGGGCCCTGCGGTACGGTAGTCAGTATCACTAACCACTATTCTGGATGGGAAGCACGACTTTTAATCTGTTGTGTCTTTAGACCATTTAAAACCATCTATTTGCTTTCAGATTCTGATCTGTATGAATTCAAACCAAACAGAGACTTAAAGACAGTTTAACCGAACAAATCTGATACCAAATTCCCTAGGACACAAACTGTCACAAGATTGGGGAAACATGTTCACTTCTGGAAGAAATTTGCTTCTTGCATTTCAATTTAAAAATTTTTTGAAATTTACTTTGTCACATATTTGTTATTTCATTTTTATATATGTGCATTATAACCTTGTCATATGTTGATCACATTTTGATCTCTTCTAATTTTATATCCTGATTTTGTTATTAAGGGGGGAAAATTTTATATTGTCCTTATATTGTTTATATCCTTTGAGTTGCCATCAATAGAATTGGGTGGGGAACTCTGTGGTGACTGCAATAAGGAGTGTACTTTGTGGCAGCATTGTCACTGATAAATACTGTAACCCTAAGGAGAAGTTTTTGGAGAAGTGGAGAGACCGTCTGTGAAGGAGTAGTATGCATATTTTTTTAAAATAAATTTTTATTGTGTATTATGTCTCATTAAAGTTCTTGATGAATGCAGTGAGAATAGTTAATGTGATATGGACAACAAAGATTGACCAGATACCTTAATTGTTTCTACAGCTTTCAATTGAACAATTATAATTTTACCAAATAATATTAAATTTTTAATTAAAAATACAATTTTATGAATTAAAAATGAAGTAATTATCAAATTATTTTTGGAAATTTGTAAGATTATCCAGCTTAAAATTAATAATATTACAGTCAAAAGTCGTTAATTCGGACACCCATAATCTGGAATGATCTATAATCCGGACCTCAAAGCTAAAAACTTTCTGCGCATGTGCCGCCGCACAGGCGTTTTACGCGTGCGCATAAGACCTTGACTACTGCGCAAGTGCAGAATACGTTTTCGCCAGCTCGTTTAATGTATAACGGACGGTGTAAGCTAAAATTATCTAATTATCTATTTCAGTTAATGTTGCAGATTGCGTTGTTCCTTAATCTTGGAATTGGATCAGGCTTATTATTTTTTGCAGACTGTAAGAGCAATTTTATAAAAGTAAACTTGAACTTTCGATTATGTCAAATAGAATTTCCGATGCTGGAACTTCCAAAGGATCTACAAAACAAAAGTATGTTTCGATGTCCAACAAACAAAAAGTGGAATTGCTGCAAAAAATGGATAAAGACATGAAGAATGTGACAGAGAGGTTAATGAAAACGAAAAAATTTCGATTGACAAGTTAGTCGGTATTCTCGGCACAGCAATTAACGGGACTTGAACAGCGGAAACTTTGTAACTGAACAAGAAATTATGTCTTTTTATAGAATTAAAGAGAAAGTATTATCACATAAAATGAAGCAACTTAAACAACTTACATTGAGAGAAATGTTTAATAAAGTAAACAAATAAATATTAAGCTTTTTTTTTTTTGTAAATTTTGATACCCTTTAGATCATAATTGTTCTTTATTTCATAAATTACGGTTTCATATTTTTAATTTTAGAATTTCTGCATGCCATCTTACGAGATTTAAACTGATGATCTATAATCCGGAAAAATCGATAATCCGGATTCGCCGAAGTCCCGATGAGTCCGGATCAACGACTTTTGACTGCATACCTTTCTTTTGAAGCATTTAGGCTTTAATCAGTGAACAGTTTTAACCCCTTGGCTACACAATATCTGCCAAGTGCGCGAGCTATAGTAAACAAGAAAGTCGGTTGCGTGCCGTGCCATTCAACTGCTGAGCCGTGTACCCAAACTGGCGCAAAATGTATACTTTTCATGACATATATATTTCAGTGCAACGAAAGGAATTATGAAATAATAAACAATGTTTAGGTGCAAATAGCAATTTTAAGATGTCTAGGGTATAATCATAATCATTTGATCAGTTAACAAAAATAATTGTTTAGATAGAGTAATAATAATAGAGTTTTTAAATTCTTTATACAAAATTATATTTGAAACGTCTGACCATAACGAAGCTTTATCGGGGAACTAATCAGATCATCCAGTTTCGTCAGAAACAACTGAAAAAAACAAAATACTGACGTTGCAATCAAAGGAGAAATATTTGAATAACTCCAATCGCCTGTTCTAATAATAATATGTGGCATTTTATGCACGAATTTCTCACCACGAGTCAGACTTGTAGCTTTTGTTTATGACACAAATTCTTTACCACGAGTCAGACAATGGCTTTTGTTTATAACACAAATTTTTTACCACGAGTTTACTTTATAACACAAATTTTTTACCACGAGGTGGCTTTTGTTTCTGGCACAAATTCTTTACCATGAATGGCTTTTGTTTTTGGCACAAATTCTGTACTGCGAGTCAGACTCGTGGTTATAGGCCAAAGGGTTAAGATAGATGAATCACTGTTACTGTCCCATCAGGAAATTCCAAAACTTATAGTAAAACAGGTAAATAAATCTCATTTATATGACAGGTCTTTTGTTTCCATCAGCATTGTTCTGAATCATGAAAGTTAGTTAATCATGATAGTTAGTTAAATCAAGTTACAATCCTTTCTGATACAAGCAATTTATTTACATAATATTTACAGGGGGAAAACTTGAACATTTCAGTGAAATTGCATCACTGTCAGGAAACAATTGCAGCTATCTGTTACTATGAAAAGCAATAAAATTATCTGCTCAGTGATGAAAGGTCTCATCACAGTAGTGGTGTCTTAGAACCTTTTCTGACTTCTACCTGATGCCAAACTCCAGAGATAAAAATATCATGGAGGTAGAATGGCCTGCCACCTAACGACAAGAATAGAACAGTTACTTAACCAATAAATGCAAACACAAAAGACTTATCAGAAGCAACTGATTTCAAATATTGGTGTTAAAATTTTATTTCTGTTTGGTAATGAAAATTTTGAGGATATATGCCTACAGTGCCATTATTAGATGCTATTGATCTTGCAAGAATTGATTTATTTTCTTATTAATTCACATGTTAAGTCGATATATTAATATTCACCGCTATGGTACTTTTAACTGCAAAAGTAATAAATGCATATTTCTGCTTAATAACATTTACCTGTTCAGTTTACAGGAAACATTCTCAATCAAACAGTTTTCTTTCAGTAAATATCAGTGAAGAAATAATTTTTTAAAATGTAATTGATATTTTATCTTGCTTAATTGTTATTGCACAAAACAGCATTCTATATTCATAAATGTGATTATAAAAAGGCATAAAACAAAAATTAAAAACTAACCTAAGAATGCATGAAATACTAACATAGGATTTTCTATAAAATGTCATCGCTTCATATTTTTATAGGTAAGAAGAAAGCGATATGTTTACAGACACAGTGGTTTTAATCAGTAATTTTTACTTTTTAGTATATATCAATGCACTTGGACTAGAAAACTCAATCATGAGAAACTTTTGTAGATAACAAAACATAGACACTTTTCTGTTGTATTGTTGAACACCTGTTGTAAATGAGAAGGGGAAAGGAAGGTCAACTTTTCACAGCTTATCTTTGATGTAGAGCTGTTCATCAATGAAGAGACGGAAAACAGAATGGGGAGGAAAAAAATTTTTTTTTGTTGGGAGGCAAAATCATTTTGAGATGTTGTTGTTGAACTCAGTACTGGAAATGAAGCCTTCTTGCAGACAAATGTTAGATATTTTATTACAAGTGTGGTCATTTTCTTACTCAGAGTGGAAAACAGATAGTAAGTTTTAAACTGGCGGTGTTATCGGTGCTGCTTTCTGTAAGTATGCTAAGAAAGTTTAGAACAGGGGTCCCAACCTTTTTGTTCCTAAGAGCACATTCTAGAATATTTGTCGGACGGCAGGCACCATTTAATTTTTCAAGGGGAATTTATAATTGGATAAAGTTAGTAATACATGCACATAAAAAAGAGATTGATCTCATTTCACTTTGTGCTAGTATCTGCATTGAACGCAATTTTTATTTCATTAAAAATGAGAATTTCTCACATAGAATTTCATTGAAAACTAAAACATTTTTATTGCGATTGCACAGCGGCGGGCACATGCTAAATAATTGACGGGCGCCTACGGGCATAGGGTTTGGAACCCCTGGTTTAGAAGGTAAACAGCATAATTATTTTGATTTGCTTGCACTGTGTATTTATTCCTATCATTCTAGCTTTTAGATTTTATGTATTATTTGGTATGATTTGATAGCCTATTTTTTTGGGGGGGGAGAGAAGATTGAGAATGGTAAAAGAATATTTTTATTTTGTTATTACTAATCTCACTTGTCTGACCTAATCAGAACAAGCTTACAGATTTTATTGGGCAAGATGGTGTTTGTCGTTGTCATGTGCCTTGAGTACCATACGGGCAACAGAATAACTTTGCTCAATTCTGCCCCAGTTTTCGAGATCATTCTGGGATACGGGTCTGAGTGTTTCCTACCCCTCTTTTCCTATCACCAAACTACTTAAGAGAACTTTCAGCTTGCAGTATCTTTTGAGTGCCCCCATGCTGCACAGAATTATACATTTACAAACAACCGTGCTTATTCCAGGGCTCAACCTGAGCCTTTCAGTGTGGAGTCAATGTCATTGACCAGTGTTTTGTCTGGGTGGCATACTTTTATGTTCAGTATCATACTTGATTATTTTCTTTACACCAGTTTTAGTTACAAAAGATATTGCGATGATGAAGTATTTTTGTAAAGCAGGTGAAACCTGTAATTATTTTAGTACTTAATGATATTAGCAATTAGTTTAATCATCATATGTATTCACCCTTGAATAATATCTATATTTAAGCATTGCTTTAACCATGTTTATGCTACTAATCATAATTATGTGTGGTAAAATTGCATATTTCAATACATTTAAATTCTTTTTATAACAGATTCGTTCTGCTCATCAGCTTGCAACTGCCACTTATGCACAAACGTTGTTAAATTTACCAGAAACAAAAGTTACAAGTCTGGAAAATGGATTCAAAATAGCATCAGAGCAGACTGACTCCCCAACCTGTACAGTTGGTCTTTGGATTGACGCTGGAAGTCGTTTTGAAACACCACAAACCAATGGAGTCGCAAACTTCTTTGAACATATGGCATTTAGAGTAAGTTTTGCCCTTATAATATACCCAAAATAAAGTTTTACATTGAAAGTTAAGTTAGAATAAAGTTCTACCAAAGATTCATATTATATAGGAATCTGATATCAAGGATCTTATATTATGAATCTTGGTTTTGAATTCTTAATGGATTAAACATAGCTGAGATAATCTGTGTTGCCATTAACTATTAAAATTAACCTCTACATTTCTAGAAAGACTTTCTGTTTAGTTTTGGTAGATGTCTACTAGTAAATTCTTTTATTACACCTGTAACACTGTGAGTTAATTCTCTGATGGTTTGAGCTTGTTTGATCTGGAATTGTAATTTGTCCCAGTGTTGATTAATTGTGTTCACATGGGTTTGAGTCTGTAAGTTAAAATGATTCATTACCATTTCTTGAAAGTAATACATTTTGGCTTGCAAACTGATGACTTGCCTTATAATATAAGGCTAGTTTCTAAATTGATTTTTGTGAGACGGACAGCAATGAATTATCTAGTTTAGCTTGATAGATTTAGATATTTAGAGTTTGAACATAAAAACCCCTGGACCAAGACCAAATCAAGAGGAGTTAGACTCGCATCATAATTCTTTCGTGGCAGAATTTCATAGAATCACTCACCTGATCAAAACCACTCACCTGAAATTTGCAAATCCATCCACATCTTTTAGAATATAGTAATGTATAATATGGTTCAGCATTTCAGATGATTAATTCTAGAGTCCATAGGCAGTGCTTGTTACCCTACTGTAATTGGCAGCAAGCATTAGTGTCACCCCATGGGATCAAAATACAAATTCTGTTCAAATGGTGTAAGTATTGACATTACTTTCAGATGTCATTCAAAAGTGTAGAGCCACAGTTTGTAAAGGAGCTTGCCAGTTTGATTTCACTGCACTTCTATATAAATAAAGAAGAGTGTTGGGCATTTGTCTTTCATGCAAATCTACAGTTTCCGTCTGATCTTGATGAAATTTGCCTTGCTTGAGTTTCAAAATAAGAGGAAATTCATTGCATACATAAGATTTCTCAGAGTTCACACTTCTTTTATACATATATTTTAATCTAATTTACTGAACTTTTGGTTAAAAACTTTGTAATTTAAAAGCATTGTGTTGCCACTCTGTAAAGCATGAGATATTTATATTTAAAATTTAATCAGAAAACTCAGTGATATAAAAGAAGTCACTCAGGAAAATGGAGTATATTTATTTGTATTTTGAATTTAATAAACAAACTCTTTAAATGAAATGTTCTGCTTTTCTCCAAATTAAAATATTTTTAAGCATGTTATCATTCATCAAAGCGTAAAATTAAGATACAATAACATGCGGAACAAATATTAATTTAGAAGTGAAACAACAAAAATCAGCCTTATATTTTCAAATGTTCGCAGGACTAATTTCGATGGTTTTACCGAACCATTATCCTCAGCTGCAAAAGCGCAAACGTAGCTTTTGAATGCAATGAAAAAAATGCAAAACTGTTAAATCATTTGTGCTTTTGCAACTGAGGATGATGGTTCGGTAAAACCATCGAAACTAGTCCTGCGAAAATTTGAAAATATAACGCTGATTTTTGTTGTTTGACTTCTAAATTAATATTTGTTCGGCGTGTTATTGTATTAATCAAGCAGTTAAAAAATTCTCATCTCACACACCAAAAGGCAAACTCTTGTTTTAGGAGATTATAAAAATTCTGTTGTCATTCCCTTCTTTCCATCAATTAGCTATAAAGTTGCACGTATTTTGCAGAACTTTAACTTTCAGGTCGTTTATGCTCAAATTGATAAAAATCCGAGTTCCATACTCAAGGACCCCATTCCGGATATGAATTCTTGGGGTATTTACAAGATCCCTTGCCAGTGTGGCTTAATTTACATTGGCCAAACTAAGAGAGCTTTAAAATGTCCCGTTAAGGTACATGAGGCATATGTTAGAAAAAAGGAAACACAGAAGTCTTCTGTTGCCCAACATTGTTAGTCCGAAAATCACACTTTCAATTTTTCTGCTGCCAAAAGTATTCAAAAAACATCTTCCATTGGTGAACTGGATTTTCTAAAGACATTTCACATTCAAAAAAATCTTTCAGTTCTAATTAACGACTCTAATTCCAATCCATCTTTGCCTTCAGCCTTTAAAGAAATTACGTTTTAGTTCTGATTTCATCAACAGATGGCGCCAGTGGCTTGTATCCTGTCCAGGCTGTCTTATCTATCTTGTTCATTTGCGCTTTTGCAGCTGAGGATGATGGTTCGGTAAAACCATCGGAACTAGTCTTGTGAAAATTTGAAAAATATAACGCTGATTTTTGTGGTTTGACTTCTAAATTAAAGCGTAAAATATTTAATTTTTTCTTTCAAATTCATTCTGTTATTAACAAAATAAGCAATTTAAAAGCAATAAATCCAGATTCATTTCAGTTATTATTAATTACTAACTGGAATTGTAAAATTACATTAGCAGGATTCTTGAAAATCATCTATCTATCTATATATATATATAAAAGAATGTACATTTGTCTTTTTTTTAAGTGTGCTATTCATACAAATGTGCTCTTTTATTCCAATCTTGATGAAATTTTGCATACATGACCTTCAAAACAAGAGGAAGGTCTACATAAGATTTCGAAAAAGCACCCTGTGGTGTCTATACTCAGGGCATCTATCTATATATTAGAATAGGGCATTCATGAAAAACATTTTTTAATGCAAATCACTATTTGCACTCACCAATTTTGAATGGCATCTCCCTTGTTGCCTTCCGCTGTCACTGGTAGTCATATTTACTAGGCAAGGAATTTGTAATTATTTTTTTCCAAAAAATATTAATATTTCTAGAGTTTCAATTTTGAAATAACATCACCTATCTTACATTCACATCAGTGTTATTGTGTTCTTGCTATCAGGTTTAATTAAAATCATTAGATAGCACCATTTAGTACCACATAGGACCTTCAAAGTTGAATTTAAGTGAGTACTATATCAGTTTTTCATGAATATTTCAAAAATTATAAAGAAATTGTCAAAGTGAACAGTTATTTTTCGAAAGCTGATTTACGAAAAAAGATATGAAGGACAACAAAGCAAAACTCTTCAAATAATTAATTGATCTGTAGGTATTTATTCATAATTACATTTACATCAAAGAAGAGAGTATCAAATCACTCAAGTATCATTTTTGTTTGCAGGAGGAATTTTTAGTTACCTACTAAAGAAAATAAGAGTATTGTCCTGTTATCTTTTATGTGCAAAATTAGTGCAAAATTAGTAATACCTTCCATTCTACTTGGCCGATTGACAAAATTCAACTTGTGTTCTTCATGTCTCAAAAGTGCAACTTAGGATATGTATTAGATTTATATATAGCATTGTTTTAATGTAGGTATTTTGATACAAAATTATACTTTTTCTGAAATGACATGCCAACTTTTTCCCATATTTCGATTCTGTGAACTCAAATTATGCCAAACTGTCAAGTTTTGTAAAAAATCACATTGAGTAGTTTTTAAAAAAAGTAGCTCTCAAAATTTTAGCTCCTCAATGTTAGTTGAATTTGATACATATATATTAATATATCTTTTTTTTTATTAAATTTACTTGATTCCTTCAAAATTTAGGCTTCCTCCAAATATAATTCACACATTTTTTATGATTTATTTTAAAAATTTGCATTTAAAAATATTTTTTATAAATTTTTCGAAAACATTTTTGTATTATAAGCTATAAAATTTTTAACATCATCTTAAGGTATATTTCTAAGCATATCTGCAAAAAAATGAGAGTTTTTATTCAAAATTTCATAAGATTATACGTGAATTTACATTTTGGTGTGTTTTGAAATTTACGTATTTAATATAAGTGATAATAACCAAAATATGGCTTACGAACTTTGTTAAAATTATTTGAAAGAATGGAGGATGGACTTTTTTCCTCTTGTGCATTAATGAATTAAAAAAAAATAAGCAGTTTGCTATAAATTAAGAATTCCACCCAGTGAATTATTCTTGGCACAAACTGAAAAAGTGCACCAAGATAAATTTTTAAATTTATCCATAAATATCTCACCAAAAATTACAAAATTTATTATCTAGGCATAAATTGAGTTGTAGAATCAAAATATGGAAAACAAAAATAGTGTGTTATTTCAGAGAAAGTCTGATTTTGTGTCAAAACACCTATTATTAGAACAAAGCTATATATAAATCTAATATATATCCTAAGTCAGGCTTTCAAGGCATGCAAAATGCAATTTGAATTTCATCATTTGGCCCAATAGATCGAGAGATACAGAACTTTCCCCCCTTTTTTTTGCGTAGTGTACATGGGAAAAACAACAGTGTGAAAAAAATTGCAGAAAAGATCTCGGACGGTGCTTCAATGCCGAGATTGTGCATGATGCCAAGTTTATGCAGTTTATGTTTGGTTTTAGTGAAAACTGATTTCTGTGTTATTTAGGTTAAAATAATATGCCAAATAATGATTACTGAAGAAGTCAAACAAGAAACAATCTTGGTTAAAATAACATGCCGAATAATGATTATTGGAGAAGTCAAACAACAAGAAATCGAATCATCTTCCTCAGCTGTGTGAGTACAAATGGCTTGTAGTTAAACCATCGAAACTAGTCCTGCAAAATTTACTAATATTATGCTGATTCTTGTCATTTGACTACTCCAGTAAGATTTCTGTGTACATGAAAGATCAACAGGGGGGGGCAGAAGAACTACTGAACTACTGAAAATATAAATGTTTTGTTTTTAATGCATATAAAAAATAGTTGCTGGCACTGAGTCCATTGTTAAAATACATGTAAAGATACACAAACAAGTATTTCTTGCCAAAGTCAGCAACAGGCTCATGGGTTTTTGTTGGGGATGCAAATAATCAGAAATTATCGAGATCTAATGTAATTTTTAGATCTATTCATATGTTAACAGTACTTGTGTCTTAGACTGTTTAAGTTGTGAATTGTTAGATGCAAATACAGCATCCTATAATTTAAATAAAAGCATTTGATTTGTGTATGTTTAGCTGATTAGAAATGAAAAATTGCCATAAGTTTCTAAATACTGATTTGAGTGACAAATAAAAAATTTCTAATTTAGTAGTCCTGTTGAAACAGAAAATGATCTGCTAATAGATTAAATTTATTATAAATATTGAGCAAGCATGTCTATGCATAAAACTTTTATTAATTTAAGTATTTAGGCATGGAAATGTGACACTTGTTTTCTTTTAAAGAACAAGTTACTAACATTTTAGAAAAATAGATATATTACTTTAAACCATATTTCCTGCTTTAACTATTACAAAATTAGTTTGAATATGCAAATATCTTTTTAATCTTAAATTACAATTTTTTCAGAGTAATTCTTTTTCCTAAATAAATTTTTAAGACATCTTTTTCAAAGTTTTCTTTGCAATTTCCATTTAGGGAACTGCTAAACGATCTCAAAAAGATTTAGATAATGAAATTGAGAATTTGGGAGCTGAATTCAATTCTTACACTGGCAGAGAAGAAACTGCTTTTTATGCCAGATGTCTGTCAAGTGATGTTGCAAAAGGTGAGACATTTTTTTATGAAAATAAATTTCTCTGCACAGTATCATAAAATTTTTACATTTAAAAATCAGGGCTGTGGAGTCAGAGCCATGGAGTCTGAATCGGATTCGGGCAGATTTTGGGGTAAAAGGAGTCTTAGCTGGAGTGGCAAAAAACAGGTCGACTCCGACTCCAGTTTTTGTTGGACAGTTTGAATATGAAATGAAATTAAAATGAACTGAAAAAAAATAATGATAAGCTGAGTTATTATTTTTATTTATGAACTATATACATTAATAAATAGTTATTTTCTATTTTATTGACATATTAATAAATAAATATAAGGGAGGAGGATGGATGTGATATTTGCCATTAGTGATCTGATTCATTTAGTTATAAATCTCGCTGGTAAATTTAGGTAAGCAGTAATAGCAGCAAGAACTCCCAAAATTGATGCTATTCTTAGGAAGCGAGCAGGAAAAGGAGCAATTATTGATCAAGGAATGCGATAAGAAAGTACATGTTTGATGATAAAGCGGTTGTTAAAATTAAGAACTTTTTTTAGAAGATGTAGATAATCCTAATGTTTCACTAACAGAAAGACTGTGGAATGATCTTGCAGAATTGGAAATTCTTCTTTCTACACTGTATATAGCGACAATTTGAAGAATTGACAGAAGGCAAGGAAGGGGAGAATGTGATGTAACGGCCTTTGAAGAAATAGACAGATATGATTGCTCTTGCAAGACATCTCTTTTAGAACTTACAAAAACCTATCCTGAAAAGTTAAAGGAAGTAGCTGTAACAGTAACAGCTGTTCTTCGTACTCAAGTCAGAGTGGAAAGACTTTTCAATTCTGAAGTTTATCAAATCGGATCTATGGTCCTCTAACAAAGAAGATCTTGCTGAAGTTTTACTGTTTCTTGGAAATTACTAATGCCAGTTTTTCCATTTCATAATAAATGCTAATTAATATAAAAAATTTGCTATGCATAAGTTTTTATCTGTAGCATCTACTACTACTTTTATATTAAAAAAATAAGCTGTACCCATGTTTATATGTTTACATATATATGAAGGAGTCGGAGTCATAAAAATTCTAGGAGTCGGAGTGTGTCATTTTCTCTACCGACTCCACAGCCCTGTTATAAATGCACCTCTTTGACATTTAACAAAAAAGTACAAAGATATGCTGAGGGTTCTATTAACTTTAGTATGTTTTATATTTGTTATATTTTTCATGGCAATCTAGAATACTGTCATATATTACTTAATTTAGTCTATACCAATATGTATGTTCATTATATAATCTTAATTTAACCAGTGAAACTTAACTCAAGGACAAAAAAGAAGATAAAAAATAAGTATGCATGCAAAGAGTATACAAACTCAGAGCAAAATTCAATATGAACAGTGATGAGCAATGAAAATTTTAATGTAGGTCTCGTATAAAATATAAAATTTTAATTAAATGGTTTACTTTTTGCAGAAGCAGAAAATACATAGAATTGTGTATGAACAAGAAAAAACTTTTAAAATTAGAAAAGATATAAAAACCACAAGCTATCATGGAAATTACATAAAATAGTGAGTAAATATTTAATCACGTGGAACAATTTATGGCAATATTTGCTACATGTTATTTTCCTTTCTTTTCATGTCAGTTTGTCTTCTAGGAGATTAAAAGCTGAACAATGATTTTTCAAAAAGTTTTTAAAGTTTAGGATTAAAGGCAGACAGGGTTAAGGTAGACATTTTCCAACATCTGTTTAAATTTTAGGTATTTGCAGGATGTATGACTGAACATAAATGAAACTGAAGAGTTCTTAAGAAGAACAAAGGGCTTGCAGATTTGAGGGAAATTTAATAAAAGGTTCATATGAGTGCCCACAATCCCCTTGTAAATTATCATTGAATAAGGGGTATGATTTTCTTTTATCTGAAACACAAAGTTGTCAGCCATTGTTCATGGTTTTTATATTATTTCCGAGAAGTTTTAACAAATTGAATGTGAATGTTTTTGTGATTCTCTACGTGTTCAATGTAAGTTAATTTTCAATAGGAAATTCTCATTGAAGATACACCCTCTGCTAGGCAGTTAACCTGCATGCACTTTTCCATATTTAATTAAACAACTATAACAGCTTCTTAAGTATATTAATTAACTCCTGGAGTACTTTAGGATGTTGAATTTTTAAGTATTGAGATCTAGCGATCTAGGCAAGTATAATTATATTTATATCTAGGGAGTAAGCAGCTCAGTCCATCTTTGTATGTTCTCATTTTACAGGAACGTAGAGGCTGGTATCACTTAATGAGGTTATCATTATCCATTAAGAAAATGAATAGCTGTATAAAGTTTCAAGTATAAATCTCTGAAATCATTTCTATGTCTTTAAATATTACTCTCTCAATTTGAAAATATGGTTCTCTGTCCAAAATTATGGAATAAAACTGTAATTAATACTGAGTTATTCTTAAGTGTATAATTGAAGTTCAATATTGATGTGAGACTTAGCTTTTCCCAGAGCTCATTTGAACGCAGTAACATAGCTGGTAGCAATCAATTATGATGGAACTTGGCCTTATTAATATGAGGAATCTTATAGGAATCCCTTCTTCAACCAACATGGTCGATTCCTGGTCTGCATTGTCAAAAAATCATTGTCAAGGTTCTTTCTGGCTAATTCATTAGAGGCATTTTCAATACATTTGACCAGTTCATCAGTATTATGAAGTTTTATGTTGCAAAGAGTGTATAGAATTGAATAACCAAGATCCAAAGCATTTAAATTGGGGCTGTTTAGTGGTTGTGATTTAAGGTGAATAGATCAGCATCTTTAGAATTACAGTCAAAATCCGTTTAATCCGGACTCGTCGGGACTTCAGCAATTCCGGATTATAGATCATCAGTTTAAATCTGGTAAGATGGCATGCAGAAATTATAAAATTAAAAATATGAACCCGTAATTTATGAAATAAAGAGCAATTATGATCTAAAGGGTATAAAAATTTACCAAGAAAGGTTAATATTTATTTGTTTACTTTATTAAACATTTCTTTCAAGGCGCGCATGTGTAAAGCATACATTACACACAGTCGAAATTAGAAAATTGCAACCAGAAAACTATTTATGTTTATTCATGATATTTATAATGACAAGGAATTTGATTTAAATCATATCAAAGACGGAGTACATTGAGATGAAATACTACTACATTTAGTAAGGAATTATAAGCCAAATAAAATAAAAACATCTGCCCTGAAGATGAGGATAGTGCTGACAGATCAACTTCCAGTTCATTGCATGCTGCGACGTTCCCCCCCTCCCCCCAGCGCAGAGCAGCGCGAAATTGATAAACAGATTACGGAATGGTTAGAGAAACAAAGGAGCCTTTATCCATTTTTTCAGCATTTCTACTTTTTGTTTGATGACATCGAAATATGCTTTCCCTTTGCTCCAGCATCGGAAATTCTATTTGACATAATTGAAAGTTCTAACTTACTTTTATAAAATTGCTCTAGCAGTCTGCAAAAAATAATAAGACAGGTCCAATTGGAAGATTAACGAACAACGCAATCTGCAACATTAACTGAAATAGATAATTAGATAATTTTAGCTTATACCGTCCGTTATACATTAAACACGCATGCATAAACCTATTATGCGCATGCGTCTACACATGCACAGAAAGATTGTAGCTTTGAGGTCCAGATTATGGACGTCCGGATTAAGGACTTTTGACTGTATTAACTAGAAGTTCTTCATTGTTATCACAAGCATGAGGTTTTGAATTATCCTGTTGTGAAATATATTGGTTTTTGCTTATGACTTATGGGAAACTAAATTGTTGAAATTACATTCTCAGTTAATTTTTTGCATTCTGCAGAAATGACAGACTCTACCTTTTTTGTTACCAAAGTTCCTTTAGGTCTATTTTAGGAAGTTTTATGTAGCCAGTTCTTGATAAGCAAAAAACCATATCTCAATTTTTCTGTAAACAAATTGCTTGTAATGTGGATCATTCCGTATTCAGGCTACAACAGCCATAAACATCACTATATGATGAAATGTTTGCTTTTGCAAATTAGGTGAGGTTTATCTTCATCCCGCAGCATATAATATGAATGTGTGTTTTGCATTAAATAGAACTACTTTTCATCTGTGTAGATATAATTACACAAATCATCAAAACATTCATCCAACAAAGCTTGAATCTCTCTTACTTGTTTTCGTCTTGTTTTACACTTGAAAATGTCAAAAAGTGTGGACTTTGAAATATCAGGAGCACGTGCTAATACGAATTGAACCTTGGCAATGGAAAGGAACTTCCTTATTGTAAGTTAACTGCTGAAAAGAATCTTTATATTTTCATCAATATTTATGTTTTTTTTCCCCAAAGAAATATCAGTGTAAATTTTACCTTTGTTGCTCTTTTGGAGCCGCTTGCCGAATCCTAGGCACTCATTTGCAACTTTATTTAAAGCACCATGCTCAATATGCTGTTATTTGCTTGAACTTGAAATTCCTTTTCAACACGTTATTTACATGAATATTTTCTGTTTTGAATCCAGGCAGGGATAACATTAGGAATGTTTAACTTCAGTGCTTGCACAATTTCATACACTGAGCCACTGAGGTCCCTCAGGCACGTCTTCAGTCTTGTATTGAATTTAACAGGGTATTTTAATGATGGAAAATATTTCCCCATGCACATTCCCTGGCAAACCAGCCTTGATTTTTCTCACATGTGGGCCCTACATTACAATTTTCTAAGTACACCGTATAACATTGTTGACATTTTTGATGCAGACAAAATCAAACACCAGCTGTGTCCAAGTTGCTTACTAGGACGTTTGTTTATGCATAAGAATTTATGATTATAATTCTTTACTTATGCTTTATTATTCTTAACAACTTTCTCAAATGTATACTATTTTTTCCGATAAAGGGAATATTCGATATGCAAGTCAGCTCTGCTATTAGGCATTATGAGTACTTTTGGCCATTTTCCATTCTCTCAGTTGCCCACTTTTCTTTCATAACACTTGAAGTGCTGTGTTCTGTATTCAAATGTTGTATTGATAATTTACTCTTACTAAATAAAAACAGATTTACTACAATAATCATCTGTATTTTTAACCTTCTGTGCCATTCTGTACTTAGCTAATGCTTTTGTTCCGGTTTGACTAGAAACAAACTTTTCTCTGCCTCAGAATGGCAACAGTGAGAACTTGACTTTCGATTTGTTATGACGCAGCCAGAACGCTGCTCCTGAGATGTAACATTAGATTCGATTGTAGATTCTAGATTAGATTAATTTTAGTATAATAAATTCTTTAAAGCTAGATTGAGTATTTGATCATAGAATTATAGCTGAACCACCGCTTGCAGAAATTTAGATGTGGCATTTAGATACGCCGTTAGATAGTTAGATGCATAGGCAGCGACATTCGTGATTCGAATAGTGTACACTAGTGCATACATAAACAGCTTTAATAATTTGCATAGGCTTATGCATTAGAACCTTTTTAAAACTTAATTGTTAAAAGCATCACAAGCTTAATATTTTAGTCAAATGTTAAGTTAAAGTCATCTAGTAAAATAATAAAATGCAGGTCTGTCCCTCCCAAATTATGCTATAAAAATTCACTCCAGTGTATAGTAAAATTTTGAAAGATATTTAGTTTAGATTTATTAACCCATCTCCCATCTCGAAAATTCAAAGTTTTGGCCAAGTTGCTTATGGAAAATTATTTGGATGTGCTTTGTTTTTCTGTTTGTTTTGTAAATTTTATGCAAATCATTTTGTTTATTTATTTTTTAAACCTCTTAAATATTAATTTCCGACAAGTAATGGACATTGCTTGTAATCATTTGGATCTGTAAATCCACTTAAATTTCTTAGTCTGGTGTCTAACAATTTTATTTTTGATATTAGTCCCTTCTGCTGTTTATCTTATATATGAATCATAAAGAATTTCAGTGTGGCTTATCCGCTGCTGTGAACAGCTTAGTTAACATCATATGGCTACCATTCATTGTCTGTCTCAAGCTCTGCAACCGTGTTTGGTCACAAAGACTCAAGACTTATTGTCTTTTATATTAACTTCAATATATTTTGTACTTGCTGTTTTTTTTTGGGGGGGGGTTGCTGTTTGAGATTTGAGAAATGATAAAATGGAAACCGAGGACAGATTTTAGAAAAGCTTTGGAATTATGTATTACCAAGAAAAATGTATTGGAAGTGCAACATAAAAAATGCAGATATACAGTGGTGACACATGAGGTCGGGGAATCATTTGTAGGAAGCCAGATTACATTTTGAACAGTCGTGCAATTTATTTATTGTTCCTGCAAAGAGCTAACGTTAGTTAAATTTTGTGAAAATATTCTGTATATTGTAGATTATCTCTAAGATACGCACAGAAGAGCCAAAATCCCCAGTGTTCCAACTCACTACTAAAGTTACTGTGGAGATACATGAGCTTCCCTTTAGTGGAAAAGACAGAGTGCCAAATTTTCACTTGAAATTTCCATCTAAATCATTGAAATAGTACATTGGTTATATAATAGCATTCTTTTTTATGTACATATGATAAATAAATATTAAATTTTATCTGATTACTTTTTTCTACAAGCCCTAAAAAGTGTTAAAAAAAAAAAGAAAAGAGGAGGGCATCTGTTATATGTATGTAACAGTATATAATGTAGATTGAGTGTTTTAAAATGTAATACTTTCATATCTTTCAGTATTCTTTAATTTTGTATCCTTATTTCCATAGTTGTAGATATATTGGCTGACATCACTCAAAATAGTAAGCTTGATGAGCAGCAGATCGAAGAAGAACGAAGTGTCATTTTAAAAAGTTTAGATGAAGCTGAAAGTGATAAGAAATTGGTTACAATGGATTATTTGCATCTAACTGCATATCAAGGAACCCCTCTAGCACAGTCAGTTTTAGGACCTAGTGAGAATATTAAGTATGTCTTTTCGTTTAGTTAGTTCAGATTATTGTTCAGTTGAGTAAAAGAAATAAAATGCAAATTGGCTATTTAGAATTTATTAAGTTCATAAAAGGGAGAAAAAAGTAATGTAGACAGTTCTAAATATAGAAAATGCTTGGAGGCTTTCATAGCAAATTCCATTGTTAGATTTATTAAATAGATTTTCAATTCAGTGTATATTTTTGTGTAATTATTAACATATAACATTGAGCTCTGTAGTGAAACATTTATAAAGAATGTTTTTTGTGATGATTTTCATTATTTATTTTTAGGAAAATTGCTAAAGATGATTTAACATTTTATGCTAGAAATAATTTTCTTGCACCCCGTATGGTTTTAGTTGGATCAGGCAGTAAGTATTCATTATTTTTCTTTCCTAATACAGTATGGGACATAGAAATCTATTTTGAGAGTGAAGTTAAGATTGTAAAATGTAAACAAAATATTTATTCTCAAAAGAATAATATGCCAGGCTGTTAATTACAACATTGTCATTCCCCTCTTCAATCTTTTAATTTTTTAACATATTTTTTTTATATTATCTCCTGATGAGCTTTTTAGTCCAAAGGGATTTGAATCCCGAAGGACTATTAGTTTCGTTTTGGCATTTTGCGTCGGACTCATAAATGTCGGTTCACTTTTCAAACTGTTGCCACAAAATGTTAGAGTCCTGCATTATATTTGAAGAAATTAAATAATGAAAATCTGCATAAATGTATGTATATTTCTCGTATTGTGATAAAAACAACGGTACATAGAGTCATCGAATTTGTTAACGTAATCCTCCAACGAATATGAGCATGTGGAAGACCAAATTTGAAATTTGTTTTTTATGATCGATTTCCTATTTTTTAAAACTTTGACGAATTTTTGATTAACAAACTCAAGGATTTCAAAGCGAGCAATGGCAACGTTGTGCAGAAAAAACATTTTTATCTCCAGCGCGTGAGTCTCTGTATCGGAAATTCTAAAGATATGCTCGTTTTAAAACTATTTTGCGATATTGCTGTTGCACTGGATCTTATGATTCAAGTGCGAGGAACATGATATTTAATAAAGAAAGGTAACACACAAAATGTTAAAAAATGCCCCTTTGGACGTAATTTTAAAATCTGAAACATTTCAGATTTTTTTTTTTTTTTTTTTTTTTTTTTGGTAATTTAGTTTGGCAGTACTGCATTTAAGCAAGGAGTGCATTTCTGTTACAATGGAGCATTTGACTGCTAGGCATTTATGATGGAAATTTTTTCAAGAATGTTTCAATTATTTGTAATAATATAGTGATTGCTCCATGGTAATTTCTGTGTTCCATATCATGGTGTTCTTTCTTATTTATTGAAATGTGTTGCCCTTTTTTATACTATTTGAAATTTGTGAGAAAATTTTCATGCTCTGATATACCAAAATACAAAAGAATTCCTTCATATTTTTTTTTATTATTATCTAAACTTATTTTGAGAACTATTCTTTTGTTGCAATTTTTTTTCCCATTTTCTTTTGCAGATATTAATCATGAAGAATTAGTTAAGTTAGCAGAAAAGCATTTTAGTTCAGTCTCTTATACTTATACCACTGAAATTCCTGTTGTAAAACCATGCAGATACACTGGTAGTGAGGTATGATATTTGCTTTTAACTTCAAATAGTAATGAGGATGAAATATTTCATCATTTTCAACAGAAAATGACATTTAAAAAAAAATTTTATTCTCATGTTTTAAACCTGTAAATTCTCTTATAGTGTATCATTTTTTAAATTATTTTGTTATCATAGGCATTTTATTTTCCATTGAAAATTGAAGAAACTTTTGTCTTATTGTTTACCTTGAGATATAAAATTTGTTATATATCCTTTTACATTCTATGGTGTAAAGTTAATCATTTGATTAATAATCATTAGTTTGAATTTGTCATATATGTCCTGAAATTTTATAGAACATATGAATTTCAGAAATATTCCTCTGCCCTTGTACTCTTATTTTTATTTGTGTTTAAAATAGAGCTTCTGCATCATAGTAGCTGTTGATTTGGTTGCATGTGATTCAGTTGCTTAGTCAACTGCAACATTGAATTCAAATATATTTATTAAAAATCTGTGAGAAGCCTAATATAATAGCAACACTACTAGCAATATCAAAAACAAAAGAATTTAGAAACAGCTAATTTAAATAGTTTTCAAAGGTAAGTATAGTTGTCTTCATTATGCGAAGACATAGCTAGCAGCAGCAGTCTCTGTAGTCAAAGAGTTTCAGAGCATTATCATACATTTGCTCCATCTGGTATATTTTGTGGATTGCCCTTTCAGGTTTTCAGTCGTATTTTATGCCCCCACTTTGTTATTGTTGAAAATGACATCAGAGGAGCTTGCAGAATCATTGATTGGTCAGCCTTCTGAAATCTGGAGGCTCTAATGACAGCCACAGTATAGAATGCCAAAATCTTCTTGCAATGGATGTGAAGTTATGACTTTTGTAATGCCAAGTGGATAAATTATTGAACAAATTATCGCTTTTGTATTGCCAGAGCATGTTGTCTTACACCTCGTAATGATGGTCTGTCTGATTTTGGGATGCTATCTCTGAGGCGACTGCACACATGAATTTATCTTTGCATGGTCTGCTAAAAATTTAGTAATTCAAAAGCAGAACTAAAAGGTTGATATTTTGCATGCTAATATTGAGCTCAAAACATTATATAAAAATGAAATAATATAAAAACAATTACAGATATTACAATCTGAAAATTTCAGGTTAACATTTCAAAGAAGAGTTTATCATTGAAAATTTCAAAAATCAAATTATGAAACACCTTTATTAACGTTGATTAGAAATACATATAGATACAGGTAGATTAGAAACACCTTTTATTAAATAACAGGACTAAATATGTTCATAAAAAATATCATTTGGATATATTATAAGTTAACTGCATTTTAATTTGTGCCAGTTAAATAAATATGAAGAAATATGTTTTTCCTATGAAGTCACTTAGTTTGTTAGAAACAAACCAATTAAATTTAGAAAATAAGCCTCCTAATGGGTGCGGTCAGTGACCAGATGGCTCTCGCTGACAACTGAGAAACAGAGCACTTAACTGATAGCCTTCAGCCACAGTTCTTCCCAAACACCAAACTCCTGTTCGACACGCATTCTGCACGTTTGTGAGAAGTTCAACAACAGGTTGAAAATGTTCTTTCCTCGGATTCTGCCACAGGGGATAACATGAATACAACAATGACTGAGTTTTCGGCATTTGCTCGAAAACTCACACCTAGTAAAGCACCTGGTAAACCTAGTAAAGCACCAAGCAAATGCTTGGATAATATCTAATCACATGATTAAGAACCTCCCCATTAAAGTTATTTTTTACCTTGCAAGTTTAGTTAATGCCATGCTAAGGTTAAAATATTTTCCTACCAGCTGGGAGAATGCTTGTGTCATTCCTATTCTAAAACAAAGATAGGATCCTGTGATCCCTCAAAGTTATCAACCAATCAACTTCCTATCTTATTGAACACAAGAAACTGATTGGTCTTTGTGAAAATATTTTGCTTAGATGTTTGAATGATTTTTGCCAAAGCTGAAATATTTTGATTTTGCTGTTTACTTGACTCAAGTCTTTTCACCTGTATGTCAGCAACATACCTCAAACACCAAGTGTTGAACTTGCATTTTATGCAGATGATCCAACCATAATTTCTCAGCACCCTTCACTGCACCTTCCTCTTACACATCTCCAGCAGTGCTTTTTAGATTTAGAGTCCTGTGTTATTGACTGGAAAATCAAAATAAACATCAGCAAGTATGCCACCATCTTGTTCTTCTCCAGAATGAGAAATGTTCATAACCATGTCCAACCACTCAAGCTGTATGATGAAGATGTATCTGGGTGGAGTCTTGCAAATATCTGGAAGTTAATCTGGAGGCCAAACTTCTCTAGGGAATTCATATTAACACCATGCTCTCCAAAGCAAGAACTGTTCACAAACAACTGACAAAACTAATTTCTGGGTGTAGTCATCTGTCTGTCCCTGAAGAATTAACTCCTACCATACACCAGCACAATGCAAGCTATCCTGACGTATGCAGCACTTATCTGGTCAACTGCAAGCAGTGTGCACTTAAAGTAAATTCAAGTCTTCCAAAACATTATGCTCTGGATGCTCTCAAATGCTCACTGATAAACGTATTTAATGAAGTGCTCCATTTTAAATTCCAAATTCAACACTTAGATGCCTATTTCCCGTAAAATTCGGCCAAATTCTTCCAGTGCATTGCGCAAATAGATAATCCTGTCTAGCATCCAATTCCAGCATAGGATCCGGCAGAACCAACGTATACCAAGTGACCTAGGGCTGTTGTAGACAGATCTTTCAGCATCTTCCCTAGAAAGCCAAAAAGGAGCAACTATCTAAATTTTCTTTCTTCCTGCTAGACCTAATCTAGCCCAATTCTCAGTTTTTCCTCCAGTGCTACACACAGAATTCAACCCTATTCTTTGCCTAAACTTCTCCTGAAACAGATTTCATGTAATTTGTTAAGTTTTAATTATCTAAATTTCAACCTAACTACATCTATCCTGCCATGACAGACAACCTAATTTCTAATTTTTTAATCTTAAATTTTAAATCTCTAATTTTTAATTTTTAATTTTAAATCTTAAAGACACAATATCTTACCTTATTAATACTTTAAGTTAAATTTGCAAATTCTCGTCTTGCAAGCTACATTAAAGAGAACTTAATTTTTTATCCTAAATTTATCTTTTCCAACTCAGTAATTCTAAATTCACTTAATATTTCTATTCTCCCACTTAACACTTTATCTGCAGGATAACATGTGACACCTCCCCGCACTGTGCTTCGTTTCTCTTTTCACTTGCACTTAGATCAGTTATCCATTTCCTTTCCATTAAGACCACTGATTAAGGCTCTCAGCAAATTCACATTGATGATTATGCATCACATTACCTTTCCCGAAGATTGGCATAGTTTGGTGTTCACAACTGCAGCACCCGCTGCTCATTTCCGTGGCAACCTTGCATTTGATGCATGCCTGTTGTTCCCTCTCCTAATTTCTCAACTTCTCGTTGCATGCCTCACCACAGGGATATAAATCACCCCATTGATAAGGTAAACCACAGACTCACCACTCTTGTTCTCAGGGAACCTCTTAACTAGCTCCTTTCTTCAACTTATCCTTTCTCTTTAGTGACTGCATTCTCTTATTTATTTCATTTTTCGTAATGACAATGTGGTGATAATTGTAATTTATATACAAAAGTACTTTGTAATCAAAACACCTTGGTCCTTGGGCCAAAGTGGGTGGGTGATTAATGATGCTTCTAGGTTCTTTTCATTCTTCATTTGTCGATTTCTTAGCCATGATCATGTCTATGTGATTTATTTTTCCTAGTAATGATTTTACACATTAATTGAAAACAATACATCATTTATGTGTTATAAAAAATGAATGAATTCTGCGGCAAGTGAAAAGGGAATTATTTATGCTTTTGATACTTGTGTGAAATATAGTGCAGTGTGAAATTTAAGAATGCCACAAAATGAAAAATAGGCTCATTGGTGCATATGGAATGGTCACCAGCATGAGATATTGTCAGTATGTAATTAAACTAACTTGATGACTATTTAGTCACACATGTATTAGATCTAATTATTGTATATTTATCTGTAAACATAGATTTGAATCTGATAATTAGTTTTATTAGCCTACTGCCCTTCAGGTTATCATTTTTTTAATATTCGAGTTTTAACTGAAATTAATTTTGAATTTTCCAAGGATTTTGTTATTTACCAAGGAAATTTTTTCTTTGTTGTCCAAACGAGCTAGGTGTGACCATTAATTTGTCACCATTACAGTCGTATAATGTACTCACACTTTAAGGAAGTCTGTGTCATTAAATTTTCTTTATTTAGCTGTTTTTAACAGTCTTCAGTAGTGTCTTATGTCTAGAAGGGCTACATTTTTCTTCTAACAATTTATATGGCCTAAATGTAATATTTTCTAATAAAAAAGTAATGCTAACTAAATGTAATCCTTTCCATTAATAATGAAAAATACCATAAGCAGTATGCTTTCATTCGTCAAACATTATTAATGCAAAAGTACATAATATTTCAGTTACTCTTCAGATACGGAAAAAATATTTGTTTCATAAAACTTTTCCTTCAGACATCTATTTCAGGAAGTCAGTAAGTACATTCTGATCAGTTCAAGAACATAATGGTTAATTGCTTTAGATTTGCTGTCTTTGCTATCATTGACTATCTTTATCATGTTTCTGCATTGTTAGTTTAAATTAAATAGATTTGCTTGGCTGTTAGAATGAATTTTTGCTTAAATAACTTTTTCTTCAAGTTAAAATAATGCGTCAAATAATAATAATTGGAGGAGTTAAAACAACAAGAATCAGCATAATAATTATAATGATTCTTGTTGCTTTACCTCGTCGAGTAATTTTTTCATTGACTTCATCATTTACGTGATCTCAAGAAAATGTGGAAACAATAAATATTTGTTTCCTAAAGGGAATGTCATGAGATTTAATGAATACCTTTATTTGAAGTTTAACCCCTTAACTGCCGCTGGCGTATATATACGCCTTGCTCAGCCGATGCGTTAACTGCCCCCCAGATGCGCCCAGATACGCAGCCGATGCGTTAACTTTGCGAATAATTTTAGGTGTAGCAGCGCAAAGCAAATGATAGCAGTTTGGAAGGACGTATATATACGCCTGGGGCAATTAACGCATCGGCTGAGCAAGGCGTATATATACGCCCGCGGCAGTTAAGGGGTTAAAATCTGAAATTTTTAATATTCTTCTCTAGTCTTGCATATAAGAGCTAATCTTATAGACTAAATTAAATATTTTAGATCAAAATTTACTGAATAGTAGTAGATGAATAGATAATTTTGAAAAATTCTGTTTATTTATTTGCAGTCGTTTTTAAGTGCTTTCGACTTCTGCATTCACCCCTATTTCTGTAGCTTTAAAAAGATATTTTTATTATAGAAGAGGTACTTCAGGAAACCTGCAAAGCTACAATTACCTTTGCTTTATAGAAAAACTCTTTTTAACAGCAATTAACATTTCATTGAATTTGATCATTGCTGCTATGATTTACTGTAAATAAAAGTGCAAAACAAATATTTTGAATTTCATGTTATTTGAAACATGTTTTCTTGGCAGATAACAATCCTTTCTTAAAGCACCTCTGCATTTTTGTTATACATTATACTCACAGTTACCCATGATATCTTCAAGGATAGTTAAAATTTCGTAATTTACTATCTGCGACTTTTGACTCCAGGTGCATTAATTAAATTTTTTGCAGCTGTTCGAGTTCATTTAGTAGATAATAGAAATAAAAATTTAACAGTATAGTTTTTTTCCCTTGAGGGGCAGTTTTTTATTTATTTTAAAATATTTATTTCAAATGCAAAAAACTGCTGTTAAAGGACAGTGTTATACATCCAAATGAATAACCTATATCTCCCCCTTCCATTTTAGGAATATTTTCCTATTCTGTGCTAAATTAATTGTTTACATGCTAAAATATGAAATCTATTGTATGGCGTTAATATTTTGTATTTAAATCAGAGTTAAAATTATTAAATTTCATTTATTTACATATAAAATTAAATATTTCCTTTCTAGATTCGTGATAGAGATGATTGGATGCCATTTGCACATGTAGCAGTTGCTGTAGATACATGCGGCCATGGTTCACAAGATATTTATCCATTAATGCTTGCTAAAACAGTAAGTAGTGATATAGTCACAGAATGACTATTATGTGCATTTTACACTTTTTTTTTTTTAATCAGACTGACAAAGGCATTGGCTCAGTTTGTTATTTTTTAATTTTTTAAAAAGATTTTATTGAATACACCTTTTAAGGTTTTAGGCTTCAATGCATAAAATGTCAAAATTTGAAAGAAGTCATTTTGTTGCTGTATAGCCCTTTTTATGACTCTTCTAACACAGTGTATCTCTCAGCATATTCACACAAATTTTGTATTCTTTCGTATGTGCAAGCTAATTTCATTATTGTATGTTTATAAATACCTCAGATGCTATCAAAAGGGGGCCCTTTTATAATGATATTCATTTTACACAGGAAGATGATGATTAAAAGAAATTTTACATTTCTTTGCAATGAACATATTAGCAATAATTGCATTGCATGTATGATGCAAATTTTGTTGCTTCTGACTATTTTCTTCTTGAATCCTAAACAATGTATCTGCATGAAATCAAATTAAAAAAATTCCATTTAAACGAAAAATCGAGTTGTAATTAATGATAATCTCCACTAGTTATCGTTGGGTAGTTTTGCTGGAATTGGTTGAAAAACTAAATTTTATATAGATACAGTATTATATTAAGACATTTAGTTGAAATGATCTTTATGATCATTTATAACTAGCGATTTCATAGTAAGTACACTCATATTCAAAGTTAAGAAAATTTGTATATTTTGTCTATTTTCTTGACAAGTTCTGAATGAAAGGTTCAAATTATGCATCTAAATAAAAAAAAAGTACTAGCTGTTTAGAGTTGACTATGCAAAAATATATGTGCATGGAAGTATTTAGAGAAAGGATCATTGAAATTGCTCACGGTATTTTCTGTACTTTGTTCACCCTCAGCAATTTTTATAGTGTTTTTTCTTTCTTCCCCTCGCCCCCAACATTTGGTTTAATTCAAAAGCGTGCAGTAAAAATTAATCACCAGTGTTTGGATGATGGAATGCAGTTGAGAATTGTCAGGAAATTGGAGGCAGGACAATCTCATGTGCAGATTGTGAGACACTTCAGTATGCCCAGCATTGTGTGCAACTTGAGGGAACGTTTTAATGATAATAGATATTTATTGAGAGAAAGCCTGGGTTGGGTTGTCCAAAAGCCACAATGGCTAATGAAGATTGATATTTGTCTATTTCAATGAGGTTTAATGGGAGTATGACAAGTTTTTTAGCTCTCGAGATTTCCATGTGGCCACAGAAAGTTAATTTCAAGTTTTCAGAAAGCTAATTAGAAAACTTTGTTTACAAGAAGGCCTATGCACAATAAACCTATTCAGCATGAAGAAGAGACTGTCCACTTATGACCAAGCATTGATAGAAAACTATTCTTTTTCAAGATGAGTCCCAATTTAGTCTAACAACTGATTCTTGATGCATCATTATCTGGAGAGACCCAGTACCCATCCTCTAACATCCAAGAAAGTCTTCCATGTGGCTGCATAGGTTTAAGCAGGCATCATGTTAGACAGAATAAAGACCTTTATGTCTTTGACAAAGGCTTCATGGCTGCTGTGAAGTGTTGGAAAGACCTTTTGAGAGGTGCAATTGGCCCTTGGTTCATTTTTAGGGAAGACAGCACTCATCTATGTAGGACTAATATAGTGATTGATTTTCTGGAGAATGAAGATTTTAGCCAGACAGCTCACCAAACTTAACCTTATAATACATATTTCGGAAGGTTTTGGGAGAGCAGTTTCATCATATCTTCTCCCTCCTTAAGCCCTCTGGAATTTGTAAACAGTGTTGCAGCAGGAGTTGGACCAACTACTACAAGGACTTATAATGTGCCTCATTTCCAGCATGAAGTCATGTTGTAAGAGCTTGTATAACTAACTATATAACCCCTTATTAGCTTCCTTTTTGGTTTGATTGTGTTTACGTCTGTTTTAGACCTTCCTGCACTGATTAGTTGTACAGATGATCATGTGAGTGTATTATGGATGTTATATGGATTATAGTTTTATATCATATCAATCTGTGAGTATACAAAATTTCATTAAATGTTTTATGCTGCAAAACTGCCCAGCTATTCTGGAGATAATTGACTGAATGTGAAAATTCTTTCTCTTAATATTAACATAGTATATGCAGTATAAAATTGGGATGTCTGTAATCCGGACACGTGGACCAACAGCAATTTTTTTTTTTTTTTTTTTTTTTTTTTTTTTTACAAATTAGGATGGAGATAATACTCTTAAAAGCAAGTGTGTCATAAAAGTGTTTTTTTTTTTCTCCTAATTAACTGAAATTCCTGTATGTCGCTTTCAACGCCTTCTGGCTAAGGAATCATACTGTGACCAATCATAATACATTGATTGACATTAGCTGTGACCATATATTTGGTTCTTGAGTGGATGTGGAGGGATACATTATTTTTCTATTTGACTTAAACAATAAGTGAAGAATTATTTGGAGTGGGATGTTGCTAATACTGGTTTTTCTTGGGGTCATAGCAGTTGAGATTCTCTCTAATTATTTTTAATTCAAAAAAATAATTACATGCGAAAGAAATGGAAGCTCACTTAACATAGGAAATAATGATTTGATCCGCTTATATTTTTTACAGTCCATTATTATTTTCAAATAAATTATTTATATTCAATAAATTCATTGTTTTTATAATTATTGCTTATTCAAAAGTTGGAATTTTTGATTATATCAAAAAGGCTTTCTAATTCTGGAATTGCAGCAGGATTTGGTATTATCTTTTACATTGACCATTGCATGAAAAGGTATTGCCCTATTGGGTTTTAGAAAGTTAATTTTCAAATTATGTAACACCTTTTTTTTTGGTAGATTTTGAATCTTAGAGGCTAAATTTTGTAATTAATGGAGTTTTTGTGAAGAAATAATGATGTAACAGCAGTTTCCTCTCTGGTGACAGAGTCTTAGTTAGCAATTAGCTAATGGATGAGATTTAAGTATATTTTAATTCTAGAAAATATCGCTTCTGATAGTGACAAATAGATTTTTGAGAATTAAAAATAAAAAACTTTCTGTATTTGCCTTCTTCATATTTATTATATGTAAGTTAATATTTATTATACATTTCAGATTGTTGGAAAATGGGACAAAACTTTTGCATCAATGATAGCATTTATTAAAATATTTAATACTTAAGCATAAAGTCTTATTTAATTGAATATATTGAGAGTAATTATGTTATTAATTTAACTGCTTAGATTTGTGTAGTACATTGTTACATATGATGTTTTAATACTTGCTTTAATTATGCATATTATTTATTTATAAAATTATCCTTAAACTTCTATTTTCCTAGCATACTCTAAATAGACTTGTTCAGAACATATATAAAGAAAAGAGATGCCATAGTTTTGAATCTTTTCATACAACTTATCGAGATGGTGGATTGTGGTAAGTTTTTATTTTCATTTATCAAACTTATACTATTTTTGTCCGTTTAGTTTCCTTTGAATAGCTGAATAATAATATGTGTGGAATAAGTAGTTTTTCTATGCATTATAATATGTTTCTTAATGAAGATTACTTTTTAAATAATTAAGACACAGCAGTTAAAAAGTTTTTAGCAGTTAAAAAATTCTCATCTCAACACACTAAAAGGCACACTCTTGTTTTAGGAGATTATAAAAATTCTGTTGTCATTCCCTTCTTTCCATCAATTAGCTATAAAGTTGCACATATTTTGCAGAAATTTAACTTTCGGGTTGTTTATTCTCCCATCAATAAAATTCCGAGTTCCATACTCAAGGACCCCATTCCGGATATGAATTCCTGGGGTATTTATAGGATTCCTTGCCAGTGTGGTTTAATTTACATTGGCCAAACTAAGAGAGCCTTAAAATTTCGCGTCAAGGAACATGAGGCATATGTTAGAAAAAAGGAAACACAGAAGTCTTCTGTTGCTCAACATTGTTGGTCCGAAAACCACACTTTCGGTTTTTCTGCTGCCAAAATTATACAAAAAACATCTTCCGTTGGAGAACTGGATTTTCTAGAGGCATTTCACATTCAAAAAAATCTTTCTGTTCTAGTTAACGATCCTAATTCCAATCCAAATTTGTCTTCGGCTTTTAAAGAAATTATGTTTTAGTTCTGGTTTCACCAACAGATGGCGCCACTTGCTTATTCTTGTCCAGGCTTTCTTATCTTATCTAATCATTATTTCCTATCTTGTTCATTTGCGGTTTTGAAGCTGAAGATGGTGGTTGGGTAAAACCATCGAAACTAGTCCTGTGAAAATTTTGTAGATATAACGCTGATTTTTGTTGTTTGACTTCTGAATTAGTACTTTTTAAATATTCACGTAATTGGTAAAAACTGTACAGTGTGCTGGATAGGCAACTTTACACGTGGTTTGATCTATGGCGGATGTCATCTTGGTAGTGTACTGCTTATACATCTTTGAGGATGTACTTTGTGGATAAAAAAGTTATGTTCTAATGTATAAAAAGAAAGGATAGTATAATGGGAATATGATTTTTTTTTTTTTTTTTCTCTTTCTGAGTAACTATACTTATTTTGTTTGCACTTGAGCATAAAAATGTTTACTCTTACTGAATTGCTATACAGTTAATTTCAGATGTAGTGATATTATTTCAGAAGTGTTGATTCTGATAAAGCTGATATAGGCATGGAATTCTAGATCATTAATGAAGCAAATTTAATTTATATTTATCTGTATATTTTTTAATTATAATTTTACTTTTAATGTATATGAAATTTACATTAAAAATATTTTAATATTTATAATTTAAAGTAAAATGATTAAATAATTGCATCCATTTATTTTAGATTGGTTTTTCTTTCCAGGGGTATCTATTTTGTTATGGATGGGATGATTCTTGATGATTTCATGTTTAATTTGCAGAATGAATGGTATGCGATAAAATAATTCGTTTTATTTTAATAATATTAGAATATAACTTAACATTTTTGTAAACTTGCAATAAACAACTTTTTGTGCCTACCACAAAACATTTGCATTAAGAAATGGGAAAAGAACTTGCTGTGGTGGTGGTGTAGCATTATTTAATAAATTTCTTAATGAAGATTTATGTAGACAGTTAGAAGTTTATGTGGTGTTTGTCAGACTTATTTTAAATATTATATTATATTATATTATTATTATACTTATTTAAAAATAGAAATTATGAACATTGTATCTGTTTTTGACATGGAGAAAAAACTATTTTCAGAAGACTCATTGAATTAAAAAAAAAAAAAATCCATAGAGTTTAGTGAAAGTTGATAAATGAAATGATAATGGAAAAGATACTGCATCTGAATGAAGGAATAATTAATCTGTCATTGTAATAATGGAGTAGGTTACTTCATGCAAGGCTGGCCAGAGATAGAATGCAAAGTACTTGTTCCCCATCTTGTTTTGCGGCTTTAGAAAAAGAAAGAAAATTAAGTATTTTTCTCTTACTGCTGTGATGATTTTAAAAAAATCTATTTTATATTTGCATTTTGGTGCATCTAGAATTCTGGTATCCATTAGCTGATTGATTGACGTAGGATTCCCAGGAAAAGGTAACATTATCTTTTTTTGTTAAGATTTATATTTTGATAAGATAATAGTAATAATGGCTGACTAAATAATGTAATAAGCTAGATCAAATGAAAAAATTAAGAAAGAACAAAATTCTAAGCTTAAGCGAATCGAAATTTCTTCCCTTCTTCCATTTTCTGTGTTTAACAAAAGAAACCAGTGTGTGCAGCTTTATACTCTGCATTCCACTCCAAGCAATATTTGGATTTGACATAAATTGTACAAGGCTAGATAAGATGGAAAAATCACCTGTGTAACCACTCAAGGACCAAAAATGAAAATTTGGTTTACTAGCTGGCAGTCATTTGAGGATGAAACAACATACGCAGGATGATTCAGTACTGTCATGAATAACAATGTTTATCAGCAAAATAAATCTCAGCTTAGGAAAAATAAAATCGGGAATAAAAATCAGTTGCCACACTTGCTTTTTCTTGAGTATCCTATTCTCCATTCTTGCATTGTGTAAAAGTAAGGGGAAAAAATTCTTTTATGGGATGTCTAGATAATAGATCATTGTAGTTATTGAACATTTAGATTTTAGGCTGTGTTCTGTACATAGTGTATTTATATGCGTAATTGGTTGAATGAATTATCGGTAATTTGAATGTATTGAACTTTTATAAATATAGGATGAGGCTGTGTATTAGTGTTTCTGAAACAGATCTTCAGGTGGCAAAAAATATGTTAAGAAGTAATTTATTGGAATCATTAGATGGCTCAACCCAGACCTGTGCTGATATTGGCAGGTGAGTTTCTTAATCCAAAATTGAGGTTTACTTTCTGTGCAATATATGAATTCTAGTTTATCATGGAATACAACAGTTTCTAAAGTTGCTAGTTATTGGAGACTGTGCTTTAATTTGTCTGATCTAAAAGTCAATTCTGTTATGTAAATATTTGATTTCAAAGGCACTATTAATAACTTTGCAACTGATTAATTATAGTAATAACCAACCATAGCTATATCTTAGTAATTTAAATGCACATTTGAAAAAAAAAAATAAAGTAAAATCAATCAATTTTATTGCAATATCAAGAGCATTCGCACTGCATTGTTTTACTATCTCGCAGCAGATAGCATACAGATTAGATTTTTATGAGAAACAGTGCATTTTTGACATAATCAGGTTTGTAATTTCATCTGCTTTCATGATTTGAAGTTTAGGTAAGATTTCTCAAGTTTGAATTAAAAGCTTGTTATAATTAACTATGCATTTGTGAATGCTGTAGTACATATTTTGCCGTAATTTATTTATACAGCTGAACTTTCTATTAGTGGATACTTGTGAAACTAAGGATTTTATTTGTTATAAATGAGTCTCTACTAAACAGAACTGCTTTGATCATCTATTCTAGGTTTAAGGATTCTTGAACTGTTAGTTAATGGAAAGTGTTCACTAAAGTATCTATTAACACAGGTTTGAATACGTATATAAACTCAGCATTTTATGTCCTGTAATAGTCCTTATACGGTTAAAGGTTTAAGCTAAAATTAAGATCTTTTTATTATTTATTTACTTCAGTATTCATTTCAGCAATAAACATGTGTCGTGACTATTACTAATTCTATTCAACACATCACTTTATTCAATTACTAAGCATTAAAACATTTATTATTTACTTTATTCAACTGCATTGTAATAGTTATGACTATTTGCAGAATATGTTATTTTTTATACCTCTTGATGGATGAAGGTATATTTCAAAAATTTTTCAGTTTATGTGCATTGTGAAAATTTATATAACTGAATTTTGCATTATAAAGTTTATACCAATAGTAGTTGTATACAGCTCCTTTCTATTGATACCTAAACAACCTTATTCTTATTGATATATATATTTTGTTATGTGTTACATCTCATTATTTTGAATTTTTTCTCTAAGTTAAAGAAATTTAAATAAAGTTTACTTAAATTCATTAAAATTTTTTCATTTTTTTTTAAAATTTGTAATATGACCAACTGCTTGTGGGGCAACTACATAAAAGAGTTATGATAAAAAAGAAATTATATGTAATGATTTTAGTGGGTCCAACTAGTAATAAGTCATAATACAGATGAAGAACTGCATTTAGAATAAATGGAAGATAAAAATATTTTATTTCAGGCAATCACAAAACATTTCTTTTAAGTCGCTAAATTTGTTTTAAAGTTTAAAAGAGAAATATGCTTTGCCAAGTAGTAACATATTTCTTTTAAGTCACTGAGTTTTGTGATTAAATTTGAAACATAAATATCAAATAAAATACCATTTTATCAAACAAAATACCATTACCAAGAAGCAACACCTTATTTTTAAGTGGCTGAGTTTCTCAATAAAAAGTTCATTAAATTTGCACAAAATATGAAATAAGTAAATAAATAAATAAAAGAACAAATTCAAAATTCAAGCTTCGGGGTGCAGGTGTTTATGTGGAGGACTGTATGTATTCAAAATCTGGTGGCTCTAGGTGCCATCATTTTTTTCACAGTGCAAGGAACACATGTGCAGATTCTTTATTGAGTAACAAAGATTTAACATTTTTATATTTTTAAATATTTAATGCTGATTCTTGCATGCTTATATTTCTTTTCCTTCACCGTACATACAATGTTCATTCTTCTACTTAATTTTTCTAACTATTTTTAGAAACATTTTTACATTCGTTATATCTTATTACATGTTTTGTACACTGCTAGTAAAAATTAAAGTATAATCTACAAAATTATGCTCACAGAGTTTTCCAATGTCCAGCAATGTAATTATTGATATTAATTATCTGCAACTGAATGCAAAATTGGAGTTTTGTGCAAAGGTTTGAAATATGCAAATTAAGCAACTGACAAAGGGTTGCACAATGGGCACATAGGAATTCAGGTTTGTAATATTGTTTAAATAATCTGGTTTCTGAGAGTGATTAGTATTCATTAGTTATTATACAAAGTAAACATTTAAATCAAGACAAAAGTGGTAGTTAATTGGCAAACTCGGAGTAAACACAAATCATCCAAAATCTAAATATCCTAAATTTTTTTATTTTAAATTTAGCAGCAGAAAAAGGGGGCAGCTTCTTTACCAATAAGTATAGATGACCACATTCTTAATATTTATTATTATCTTGAAAGGAGTTTTAAAATGAAGGAAAAATCGAAACTATTCCAACAGCCTTATAATACTAAGCGAAGAAAAATTTTGAAACATGTATGTATAATGCTCGCTATTTTTAAAGAGTCCTTGACTAGTGGAACCCATTTCTTGCAATTTTTAAAGAAGTAAATGTTTCTAGATTTGAGATAAAAGGCTGTATTGAAAGTTATAAAATACCTAAAGTAAATGGAAATGTAATTTTGTTTTTACTAGTAACAATATGCTTGAGAAAAATAAAGTAATTTCTGCACCAACGAGCAATTTATAATTGGCATTTTTCAAAATAGTATTACACAGAGGTGCTAACTCTCTTGATTTAGGCATGAGACTCCCAATTTCTGACCGTTCTCCTGCCAACCCGATTTGCAACGTATTTCTACCGATTTTTTCGTATTCTTAAAATTTCTCACGATTTTTATGTATTTGGTGGTCGTGTGTGCTTAATGCATGATATAATTAAAGAAAATAAGAATAGACAATCTCCTATAACAAAAGAATATATTAAATACTAAATTACAATTTAAATTACATTGCAGAGATCAACACAGAGCTTGGAACACAGTTCAGGCTACCTTCGCGTACAGTGTGTGACGAGAAGTCTGAGTGAGTAAGATGTCGCTTTGCTGCTCCGATTAAGAACTGGATTTTACACGTGGCGCCATCTCATGATAGAAGTTGAAGTATCTGTGGAACGCCACAGTACTCCCTCCCAAGTACCATCTGGTACGTTATAAACTTATTTTAAGTACTAATTAAAGGTTAAATTTAACCGTTCTTCCAGATCTGGTAGTTTTATGTTGTTCTTTAACGGGATGTGAAGCTTTCTTCCGGGAGTGATGTTGATTGAGGAAGTTGTCTGGATCTTGCATTAGAAATGCTGGTTTGAGACAATCGATTCCAATCACTGATTGTTTGCCATTGCAGGATGATGGTGAAATGTTTCGGTGTTCGTTTGACAACTTTGAATGGACCATCATATGAAGGTGTTAAAGTTGGCTTAATTGCATCGTTGGCGCACGAATACGTGCGAAGATGTCTCAAGCGCAGGATGTACAAAATAGCTTGGCTTGGTTATGCGAAGATGCTGGGGTTGGCGAGATATTGCTCATGGTCTCACGTAAACGGTTGAAGGAATGTTGAAGGATCGATAACTGGAGTAGATGCTGGGTGAAAAGAATTCGCCCGGCAGGACGGAGGGTTGCACCATATAACATTTCAGCACAAGTGCTACCAATGTCTTCTTTGAATGCTGCGCGAAGACCAAGCAAGACTAGGGGTAAGGCATCTGTCCAGTGTGTGCTACTGTGGCACTTCAGACCTTGTTTGAGAGATCGGTGAAAGCGTTCCACCATCCCATTTCCAGATGGATGGTATGGTGTTGTGCGAATATGGCGAATGCCAAGAAGAGAGGTGAGGGATGTGAAAAAGTGACATTGAAATTGTCAGCCTTGGTTAGTAGTGATGGTGGTAGGCATGCCAAATCTTGAAAGCCACTGGGAGATGAATGCTCGAGCTACAGTTTCAGCGGATATATTTTCAATAGGAATGGCTTCAGGCCATCTTGTGTACCGATCAATACAAGTGAGGAGGTAAGTGTAACCATTTGAAGGAGGCAATGGGCCAACCAAGTCTAAGTGCACATGATCAAAGCGTCTTGCTGGAAGGTTAAATTGTTGAATGGGCTGTGTGAGTGTGACGGGATACTTTACACCGTTGACATCTAATACATGAACGAGTCCATTCTGTGATGTCTTGATTCATTGCTGGCCAGACAAATCTGTCTGCGATCAGCTTTTTGGTGGCACGGATTCCAGGATGTGCCAAATTGTGCAAGGCATTAATTAAACACTTCACGTCTAAAATTGACAGGAATATAGGGACGTATTCTATTGTTCTCTATGTCACAGTAAATTTTTAAGCGTTGGATCAATGTGCAGCGGTTGTAACTGAAGGGAGGTTTGTGGATTTGAGATTAGGTTCTTGAGTTCCTCATCATGCAATTGAGCTTTTGCAATTTCAGAGAAATCTGGGGTAGTGAGGTTGATATTGTTTACCCGAGACAAGGCATCAGCGACACAATTATCAGTACCAGAGACATATCTGATATCTGTACTAAACTGGGTGATGAAATCCAGATGTCGAAGCTGACGAGGAGAACATGAGTCAGAGTTTTTCCTAAAAGCGAAGGTTAATGGTCGATGATCGGTGAAAATGATGAAGTCGTGTCCTTCCAAGTTGTGCCGGAAGTATTTAACAGCACACAGTACACAGCAAGTAGCTCTCTGTCATATGTGCTGTATTTCCTTTCTGCAGTAGTGAGTTTTCTGGAAAAGAATGCCATTGGGGAAAGTCCTTTAGTGGTATGGGCTTGAAGCACTGCTCCTATGGCCGTGTCAGAATGCATCTACCATTATAGAGAGCTGATCACTAGGTGAGTGATAAGAAAGTGTGGCTGCATTTGCCAGATCGTGTTTGCATTGCACGAATGCTGCTGCAGATGCAGATTCAGTCCAAGGACAGCTCGTTGATCGTTTTTTTTGCTATTCTTCAGAAAACTCATGTAGGCTAGGCTTGTGTTTTTGCAGCATTTGGCAGAAAGCGTCGGTAGAAATTTAACATTGCTAGAAAACGCTTCAGTTCAGAGATGGTTTTTGGGCTGAGGTAGGTCGTTAATTGCTTTGACTCTTTCCGGTAAAGGATTTTAACTCCATTCTGGGTGATAAGACATCCAAGAAAGGAAACTGAGGGTTGACCAAGTACACATTTGGATGGATTTAGTTTTAATCCATGATCTTTAAGGCGAGTGAAAAATCTGACGCAGATGTTGAAAATGTTCTTCCGCATCTGTAGATGCAACCAGGATATCATCAAAATATGGGATGCAGAAATCGAGGCCAGACAGTACTTGGTGTATGAAACGCTGAAATGTTTGGCCAGCATTGCGAAAGGCCAAATGGCATATATAAGTACTCAAAGAGACCAAATTGGTGTAGTCACTGCGGTCTTGGGCACATCTTCAGCATACGCACTGGGATCTGATGATATGCTCTGGCAAAGATCGAGGGTAGAAAAATATGTTTGTTCCATGAAAAAGATGGGTACAGTCTTGGATATGTGGGACTGGATATCTGTCAGGGACTGTGACGGCATTAAGTCGACGATAATCTCCAAACAAGGCCGCCAGTCACCATTAGACTTTTTAACCATGTGAAGTGGACTGGCCCATGGACTTTTAGATGGGCGAATGGTTCCCTGTGCTAGCATGAATTCAAATTCTTTGCGAGCAGCCTTTAGCATCTCTGGAGAAAGACGACGAGGCTTGGAAAATACAGGTGGGCCATGTGTTTCAATGTGATGATACACTTCTGTAGCTTGATGAGTATGCTGCCCTGATTTGAGATGGGTTTAAAATGTCAGGGAATTCTGCTAATAACCGATGAAACCGTGTGTGTTGCCCGATACAACACTTATGTTGGTAGGTACGTTCGATATGTGAGAAGCTTGGCCCTTGTGATGTCAGCTGAGTTGTAGCATCAATTAAGCAATTATTCTTGACATCCACTAGAAGGTGGAAATGTGTCAAGAAAGTCGACACCAATAATTGCTTGAGTTACATCCGCATTAATAAAAGGCCAGTTGAAAGTCCGGCGCAAGTTTAAATCAAGTGTCAATAGTTTGGTGCCGTAAAGGTTGCAATTTGGGTACCATTTGGCTGCATACAGTACAAGTTTATTAAGTTGGTGAGCATTTGTTTTAGTTCTAGATCGGGATTTGCACTGATATGTCAGCTCCAGTATCTACTAGAAAACATAACTGAGTTGAACGATCAGCCAGTACTATTCTGTCGATGTGGCGGAACATTCTGTTGGCCAGCAGAAGACCGCCCATTTAGTTTCCCAGCTTGTTTCAAAAGTACATGAGGGGGCACACTTGCGAGCTTGCCTGAGCCACCAAATTCATATGGATAAAAACATATGCCACTTGTGGGTTCTTTGTACTGCGTTCGAGTATTCAAGACGATTGTGATGAGACTCCTGCTTTCGGGCACGAAATTTATTACGTGGGCCCTGATTGATTTGATCGATTGTATCTCCGTGAAGCATGAAGACTTGTCAGAGAGTTCAGATACTTTTTTGTCAATTCAGCCACTTTTTGTTCGAGGGATGAACTGGAAGGTGCAGCATTAGCAGCCACTGACATAAGCTGGAGTAGACAAGTTCATTAATTTTGTCAGCCATTGCTGCTAAACGGGTTTAGATCTTCATTGGAAAGCAGCAAGAAGTTATTTGTATGTTATTAGAGTTATTATTTGTATCGAAAGCCATAGTGACTTCAACAAGTCGTCACTAAAATGGTTTCCTGCCAGATCACACATTCATGTGACAGCAAGTATGAAGGTCGCTGATCACCATGTTCAAGTCCTTTTGTAGTAAAGTAACGTATTTTTGAAGATTCACTTTCTGAATTAGATTTCAATGAGCTGCTGTTTCAGTTTGGAAGTATTTATCACAAGTCAGGTGGTTTGAGAATTAAGTCATGCACTGAATTCAGAATATCAGACTCAATTGCTGCAACTACATGGTTGAATTTTGTAGAATCCTCACTAATGCGAGCGATAGAAAATTGTGCTTCGATCTGAGCGAACCACAATGAAGGATTATTTTTCCAGAAAGGCGGTGGCTTCACCGCAACGCGTGTGATTTGTGGCTCTGGTGGAATATCATCGGGCATACTGATAGATAATTTTCACTTTAAATAATAAACACTTAACAGCACAAATATTGTAGCATGAAGATACACTATTGATATTTTACCATGATAACAATAAATATTTTAACCATGCAGAAAAAAATTTACGTAACGATACACACACAAATAAGACAGGGTCAGCAATTACACACACAAATAATATTTTACCGAAATGCATTTGAAAAGAAACCCTTATTTGAGAAAAAAAATGATGCGTTAATTTTGTATTGCGCGCGCACAATATCACCACTTCACAATGAAAGGCACTTTCGAAGGAAAAATGAAATCACTCCTGTAGCACATGGGAAAAAAATTCACTACTTTCGAACACTGAAGGAAGAATTTTGCCGTAGCACGTTGCAGAAAAATTACTGATGTAGCACATTTAGCGAAAATCACTATTGTATCACATTTGTCACAAAAGTTGAATGATCGAAGAATTATTGCACGACTGGCGAAGTCAGCGGAACGGAACAGATCACATTGATGATTTGCTGAAGCTCCTTGTGATGATATGCACGACTTTGAAAAAAAAAAACACAAGCAATATATATCAATACTTCTAGAAATAATTGAAGGGGTACGTTGTAGCATACGTTTAATGTCCATATCCGTTGTTATTTTTAGTCAGTTCTTCAGAATGCCTTGGATGCACGTGGCTTAGGGTCGTTGAAAATCCATTGTCAGTAGCGTGCTCAGTCAAAAGGTCACCACTTTTGGTGGTCGTGTGTGCTTAATGCATGATATAATTAAAGAAAATAAGAATAGACAATCTCCTATAACAAAAGAATATATTAAATACTAAATTACAATTTAAATTACATTGCAGAGATCAACACAGAGCTCGGAACACAGTTCATGCTACCTTCGCGTACAGTTGTGTGACGAGAAGTCTGAGTGAGTAAAGATGTCGCTTTGCTGCTCCGATTAAGAACTGGATTTTACACGTGGCGCCATCTCATGAATAGAAGTTGAAGTATCTGTCGGAACGCCACATGTATCTCGATTTTATGTAACATTTCCTACGATTTTTAAATACTTGTTATTTGCATCAAAAAAGTGACTTGGGGCATAATTTTTTCCCCCTCTATATTAAATCTAAAAGAAAACCGAAGTCGTTTTTTCAGCGAGAAAGAAACTATGCTTCTGCTTTGTGAGTGAGACCACATGTATTCGAAAACGTCGTGTACCAGCTCTCTAGTCAGCATCGAACACTATTGTGTGTCATCTGGCATATATTAGCCAGTGAGCATAAAGAAAGATCAAGGATGTTATTTCATTCATCTTGTCCCTGAGCGGTGTTAGCACATGTGCTTTCGAGAAATAGTTTATGAAATTACGATCTTTTGTTTTAGCTACATTTGCAAAAAAGGTAAAATACTCAAGTACTTTTCAAAAATCATACACAGATGACTTTCCTTCTATTATTTCGTCAAGGAAATGTAATACATTTGTGATGTATACCATTTGTCATTGCGATTTTTCGATCTTGCACAGTAAAGGGCCAACGTTCTCAAACATGTCAAACAAAAACACAAGACAACTTGAGTTCTATTTAAAAAAAAAAAAAAAGTGGAATAATGCTGTAGCTTTATTAAAAAAATGTCTTCGAGTAGATATAAGATACGTTTTTACTTCATTTAGTTATGAAAGATGATTTTGATATTGCAACTGATAAACTGCAGTTGCAATTTTGCAGTTTACAATTAGAAAATTCAGATAAAGTTATGAAACTATCTAGGATTGGCAATCGGTGGAGTTTAATTGGAAAACTGAAAGGTGCTAATGGAATTTTAAACTGTTTAGAATAATGTTTCAGTATTTTTGGGAAAACAAGGACTAAATTTAGATCTAACATTAGTTAATGATACATTAGAAAAACTAATTAGCAAAAGCAGACCTACATGGCTATTGCTACAAACAAAATTATGAAGTTTCTTTTTTAATGAAAGCAAAATCTGCCACTGTTCTTAGCATTTGTATGAAAACTGATTTAAGTATCTTGTTAAAAGATGCAAATCATAAAAAAAAATTTTTTACAAGTGTTTTTGCACTGTTTCCATTTAAAAATTAGTCACTTAACTTTCAGATATTAATTATTAACTATTTAAAGTTAATTTATTAGTAAAATATATATTTTTATCATTTAAAAAAATCTTTTTGTCTTTGAGAAAAACATCCCGATTTCTGAGTGTCCTAGGTTCGCAAGTATGACTACAAAATGTAAGTGCAAAGCATCTATGAAATGAGATGTCAGAAGTTTGCTAGTACAGAACTGTGGATGTTATGGGGAAAATGTGTGGTCATCAATGTCTAATATGAGAATAAATGAATGAAACCTTACTTATGACTTGACATGTTAACACCTGATACTATATTAAATCATGGGAAAGGTTTCATTCAGTATATTGTGCCACTTCAGATTTTAATACAAATAATTTTTAATAACAAGGATAATGATTTTGTTATTGTGGTACTACTTATTGAACTTTTGTGATTACCTAATAATTTCATCCTTTAAAAAGATTTAATGTTTTTGAAGTATTTTATAATGTTAATTAACTGTAACTCAGTATTCGTTTTGTATCATGTAAAGTAGTTTGTATTTTCTATTGGTCTTTCATAATTAATGTGTTTAGCAAGATATGTTTTTCATTTTCAGACAAGTTCTTCACTATGGAAAAAGAGTACCATTTGCTGAAGTAGATGATATTATACAGGTATTTTATACATTTTTATCCTCTAAATTTGTTTCAGTATAAATCTGTATCTTCTTTTTGTAAAAATGTTATCTAAATTTGTATTTTCTTATTTTAGTCTGTGACACTTACACAATTTAAAGATACATGTATGAAATACATTTATGACAGATGTCCTGCAGTTGCAGCTGTCGGTAAGTACATGTTTAAAATTAACTGAAGCACGCATAACAGTTTTATTGGAAGTTTTTTTTAAAATCATGTTTTATGTTTTGACAGAAAAAGTAATAAAATCATGAATAAGCAGTGAAAACAGTTTTAATATTTAAAATTTTTGACATTAAAATTATTATGAATGTCCTTTTCATCTTTCCATAACATGCTTAGCTTTTTATGTGCTTTAGCACATAAAAAGTGGGGCTTTATTTAAGTTGCTAAATCAATTTCAGTGTCTATGATATTTGATTTTTAATGTTCATCACTGGAAAAAATACTTAATCAACTACCTTAATAAATATATAAACTTAAATTATGTAATTATAATTGCATACAGTTTTTGGCAACAATTTTTGAAAATTACAGTTTATATCTTAAAAGATTTGAAATCAATGTACATAATTAGCCATTTAAAATTTGCTAAATGGTATAAGTTTTTTCCCCATGAAATATGTATAATAAAAATATGTTGTTTTGAATGCTATTCAAAATTTCCTATAATTTTAAGTCCCCTTTTTTAGCAAAATAATAAAATCTCCATATATAATGAATTATTGAAACTAAGGAATAATAATGAAATTTTTTAGTAATATGCTAACATTTAATTGAATGGAAGAGCTAATGTAAATTATTCATCTAATGAAAAATTAATGTAAAAAGACCATATGCTTGTTTTTTTATTACATCTATTGTTAAATAAATTTAAATGCAGAAAATGCTTTAGTTATTTGTTTTATTTGTAATTACAGGAAATTGCATAATTAACTGACATATGTAATTGTTTTCCAACATATTTAACAATGCCATTGTTTTTACTTTCATACATACATATTTTGCTCCAAATGTTATGAAAGCATAAATTGATACCAGGGTTCATAGCAGTCCTTACAAGTGCTTATAAGTCATATTTGAAAATAAAATATAAAAGCCCTTATAGGTGTGTATTTTTTGCTTTTAGTGCTTTTTTTTTTTTTTAATGAACACACATTTTTTCCCCCGTTCCAAAGCCGAAACTAAATAAACAACTTGTCTTCCTTATATGGAATGTCAGATGGTGAATCGTACTCCCAGAAATAGCTTTTTGCCCTTTTCTCTGCATTAACATAACCTTTGGTGCATGCGAGTAGACAGGTGCATGTTGTTCTATTGGTCACAGAATTACGAAAATGGTAGAAAATTCCAGTACATTCTGTATTCTTTTGCTCCCACCCAATACTACACATGTTTAAATTTCTTTCAAGATTTTAATAATTTACATTCTTGTTCCGCGTGGTCAGTTCATATTCACGTTTATTATGATCCGTATGCTTATATTATGAGCATATGTATGAATATTTATAATATAATAATATATTTGCAGTAACTGCTAAAGTATAGATAAACTTTAAAAATGGGTGTGTTTTAACACAGAGTAGTTTTTAAGGAATAATATTCAAAATGGCATAAATAAAGTAATCGAATAGTCAAAATATTTTATTTATTTTGCCATTGCATTATACAGTATGGAAGTTGGGGGTTCTTCCCTGTCTCTGCAAAATCTCGAATATTGAAACAGTTACAGTTTGCAGCAAAGCAAGCAACGGACTTTTTTTTTTTTGGTCACTTTCCTACCTGGTTTGAATAGTTCTGCGATCTACCAACCTAAGCGAAGAATGATTCTATTCCGGAAATTTAACGCAGTCTGTTCAAAATTAGAATGAAAAACACCCCAGATTGGTAACTCTCCTTATTAATCAATATGAGCATGACGAGGATATCGTGCGGATCTCGACGTGCCCTGCTGAATGATAAATATGCCACATGGGCGCATGATGGTGAAAACTGGATGAAGTAAAGAGGCATTTTCCTTTATTTAGTTATTTATTCTCCGAATACCGGCAGCTGTTGATTCCGATTGCATAATATCACATGTGAAAGAATTAAGGCGCACGTATTGTGATATTTCGCAGAGATAAAAGAGTTTTACTATACTTGCTAAACAGATTATTTTTCTGTTCCATTGGGCTATTTTTTATGTGATGCACATATCGAAATGTCAAAAGCATTTATTTAGTTGAAAAATCTAAAGAACGGCTACAATCTACCCCCTTCCTCTTTTACCAGTTGCACTCGACTGTACGGAATTTTCAGATATTCGGCAATTTCCGAGTATGCCGATTAGTTAAGCTTTTACTGTTAAAGGATGACTGCATGAAGCAATTTCCTGTCTTCTAATTTCAGAAAAGTTCCTTTTTTAACTTAAATTACTTTGCTTGCAAAACTGTTATACAATGAAAATTTACAAAATGTTCAGAATTTTAAGTTAAATTATTTAAATATGAGTGGAAAAAATAAACTGTATTTATTTTCTCTACTTTGAACTGAAATTTCATCATTAAATCTTGTAATATAATTTAGTTCTGCATAGTTTTTTTTCCTCTCATTGTAAACTAGTTCTGTAAATTGAACTGTTATTTAAAAGCAAAAAAAAAAAAAAAAAAGTAATTGTTTTCCATGGTTGAGTAATGCTTATTCTCTCTTAATAAATACTGAATTTCTCATATTTTAAATTACAAGTTTAATTTTTCTTTTAAGGTTATGCAGTTGTATATAATGTAATTAGACACATTGCAAGATAGCAAGCTGTAAACCTGACTATCAACATAAAAGCTAATATACAGTGAGTTGGTATTAGGTCAAGTAACCTCAGTGGCCTCCACATTACTTCATAAAGTTTCGAATATTTTTGTTTGGTTAGGTTTTGATTATAGAATGAGGGACAGCTGTACCTGATAATGAAACTTGTTGCCATAATGGATTTTCAAAAATAGTACGAGTTTTATTAGTTTAATGCTCAATGTAATGAAATTTTGCCATGTCTGTCCACTTGATGTTAATAAATTCAACTGTACATCCAAGTGCCGTTTATAATGGTTCATAAGTAGGTTATACTAGTCACACCGTCTCTTTGTAGTAACACTTGCATCAATGTTGCATTGAAGTGGTAAACTTAGAATTCATATGAAATTTGTGACAGATGATTAAGTGTAAGGCCACATGCCACACTTATGTCTCATAAATTGTGGTATTGAATTGTTAGTGTATAGACTAGGACATGAACAGCTACAAATGACAGCCTACTTGAAAAAAAGTGAATGACATTGATAATGACTGAAAACAAAAACAAAAAGATTAAAGAATGAACTGTTGGAAGCTTGGAAAGAGGTGTACTGGGAAAGAGGTGCTGGAAAAGAAAGAGGGTACACTACCTCTTTCCTTTGCTGGGAAAGAGGTGTACACTACCTCTTTCCCAGCAATCTGCGTATCTGGCAGTGCTTCTTGCTGGATTAACTAATCATATTTACACTTTCAAAGACCCAGTCCATGCAATATTTGGTAAATGTTCCCTAACTACCAATTTATGTTTACATTGGCATACATCTATACATCACTGTTTTAGAGAAAAAATTTCGTTTAAAGATTTTACACTTTGCTATGTTATTGGTAGCATAGTTATATAGAGGAATCTGCATTTCAGGGCTTCTGTTCAAGTTACTGGTGTACATAATAAGTGATGCTGTACACATTTAATAATGACTTGTTGAAATTCATCTAAGTTGCTGTAATCAGTGTTTGATATGATTGATCAGCAACTCTCAATGTTTTTAAATTTTTCTTTTGTTTTATTATAGTATATAGATAAAACTTGAATTTTATATTTTAATGTTCTTGGTTTCAGTGTGGTGGCATTAATGGAATGCAAAAGGTTAAAGTGAGAAACATTAGCAGAAGTCTTTGAAGCACCTCTGGATGTCATTCTTTGAGGTGTCTTTTAGTTGACTGCTTTAGTCTAACAATCCTAGCAGACATGAAGCAAATCATCACTATGTCTGAGAATAATGATAAAGCTTTGAGAAGGCTATATAACCTTTTTATTTAAACAGAATTTGAACCATAAAAGTACCTTTTGTGCTACAATTTCCACAACTCATGATGATTCAGAATAAAAAAGAACAGTCCAAATTAAATGTTGAACAGTAGTTAAGGACTACACAGTTAAGTACTACTAGAAGCTGGCTCACTAACTCTAATGGAGAATCAAAATTAAAGTGTCAGCAAGGACAGAATGCAAACCGATAGAACACAATAATAATTACAACTCTCAGAGTTAGCAGGAAACTAACAACGTAATATGCACACGGTACCAGAAACACGCTTTCCCTAAAAATCTCGGTTTAAATGCTTGTTAATCATTTGCATTCTGGCGAGGAATATGGAAAGGAGAAATTATAATAAAGGCTGAAATTATAAATAACTTGTTAATTAACATAATATTTTCCTACAATTACCTATCATCTCTGAAACTACTGACAAGGTGATGTTTGATGACTTTTGATTGTAGCAGAGTATTTTAGCCATAAACCTGTTTTCATTTCATTAGACATATTTATTCTCTTAGACATTTGCTGAAGCATACATGAAAAATAATCTTTATGCATCTCTCAACAAAGATTTTATATTTATCGCAAAATTTTTTTACATATTTTATCATAAAACATGGCTTAGAATATTCAAAAGCATCTTAGGGAGGACCATATGACATATTATGTAAATGCCATTTCACTGCTCCTAACCACAGGATGGATTAGGTTAAAACTTAAAGAATCGTAGTGGATTAATGTTCATTTATACTTCCAGTTCCCAAAATTTTGGATCCTATCACATATAACTTCCATGCTAACAATATTAGGCCTTATTTATAAATTAACAATATATAAGAATGTTACTTGAATTTTTTTTTTTTTTTTTTTTCATGTGTTGATTAATGGAAATTTTTAAAGTCAAGAGCTCATAGTCAGATTCATTTTATTTATAGCAAAACATAGTTATTTAATAAATTATGTTATGTAATAAAAACTAACAAATTTTCATATGTTCCGCTGTTCAGGTTTTTTACTTTGAAAACCAAACAAAAGGTGCAATGCATATGATTTTAATCTACTGTTATTTATTTTTTTAGGACCAGTTGAAGCTATGACTGACTATGCAAGAGTTAGAGCTAACATGTACTGGTTGAGATATTAAAAACTTGATTCTTGCATATAATTGTACTATGTAGAAATAAAATTTAATAAATTAAAAATAGATATAACTTTATGGATGTATTGTTTCATGTTATTTTCATCATAAAATAGAAAATTTTATCTATTTCTATTGGAAAAAAATTAAATACAGATATTTAAATTTTAGTGGTGCATTTTGTTATATTTTAGAAGAAATAAGTAAAGTTGGGCAAATTTATCATTTGAAAAAGAATTAATAGATTAATTTTAGTTATTCATATGTGCAGATGCTTTACAAAATTAAGTAAATTTTATATTTTTGAAAAGATGGAAAAAAAAAGTTAGCACACTTTTTCAAGAAAACACTGTTTAAAAAAAAAATTAAAATCTGTTACATCGTGAAACATGTTTATTCGTGAATTCATTCAACCACAGTAAATCTTCATTAATACATTTAAACATTCTAAATATTGATTTAAAAATTAACTACAGTGACAAAATTAATGGCACAGGAAAAACATTTAACATAGGAGATGAATTTATTACAAATCTCTTTTTTCATACTCAAATTTTTTTTAACTTTTCATTATACCACATGTAAAGCAAGTGTTAGCAAGCATAAAGAACTTTGAATTTAAATATGTTGACACATTTTTTATAAAAATAAACTTGATAAAAATATTTTAATCAACAGTATATTTGACTATGTTATTAAAAAGTTTAAATATATATTTATACAATATAAAACAAGATTTTTGATTATAAATAAATATTGTGTTTTGAAAATTTTTCAAAATTTCATACTTCAATCCATTTGAACCTATAAAATGGAAAAATAAAAATAAATAAAAAAAAATAAATAAATAAATAAAAAAAAAAAATAAAATCCAAAAAAGAGAGAAAAATATTAATATTTTAACTGTAGCTAAGATTTTCAGCTTTTTATTATATAATGCACAAATAATAATGAAAATTATTGATGAATTTTCTATTTCTAAAATTGCTTGAAGACTTTTAAAAATAGTTTTATCAAAAAATTAAAAAATTTTTGGCCTATGTACGACACCTTCATCAGCATTTATTCATATGATATAGTTTATAACATCTATATATACTTGTATTACTCCAACTGTATATGAAATATGATGTTTTTAATTAAATTTACACTTTATACTTATATTTTCTTTAATTGAACCTCCAATGATAAGTTTAAAAAAATTAATGATATTATGAAAATGGATATGAAACTTAGTATACTAATTTAACGTTCTATATTTAAAATAATGGAATGTATCTGCTTTCAGGTGTTAAGGCATTTTAATGACACAGAAAACATGCAGAAGTAAATCATTGTCAGTGTAGTGTTGATAAATACTAGAGAACAACTTTACTAGAATTAAGGTTTAATGTAATTCTCCAACTATGATATTTAAAAAATGTATATTACTTTCTTTTGTAATATAAATATTACATTTCTTTCTTTTCATTATCACCTTTCACTTGCAATCAAGACCTTATTTATTTATTTATTTTTAATTTCAGCTTAATATCTGAAAATTGACTTAACCCTTTAAGCAACGAAGGATTTGGTCTTAAACTTTGCAAAAAGGGCATAAATAAATGTTATGCTCTTGATTATAATTCCAAAATGATATTGTTACTTCGTAGGACTTTTTCCTTCCAGTATTTATGCTAACTTAATTATCTGAACACATTTCAAGATGCATGTATCTGTATGATTTGGCCACTTGGAGAGTTCACTTGCTTCTTTGTGTTATGAACTGTAGAATTAAACTTTTTTTTTTAAATGTTGAGAAATATTTACTCATATATTACTGTGATTGTATATTTAAATGTGGAGAGGTTTTGGCATATAGACTGACAACACATTCCATTTTCAGAGATTATAGTGCTTTGGTTAGCATGTATTAATTGACAGTCAATCATTTCAAAAATATTCCTATATAAAACATGCATATATACAGTTTATTGCTTATAAAAACAAGCAGATACTTATATGCCAATATGCTAAGCCATAAAGAAGTACTAAGGTACAATACAGAAAAGCAGAATGCAACATCTTCCAAACTTTATGTAAAATTTAAAAAGTTTTCTAAATATAAATTTTAAAAAGAATATACAACTGCAATGACTTTTGTACAAACTAGTAAGGACAAAAAAAAGGTTTGAAAATACGAATGTTTAATAGATCATCACTAAAGCAAAGTTAGTAAAATATATAGTTTGTAAAAGTTTATGGTTCTAATTTAAAAAATGAACCAAAGCTGCTATAATTTTTCTCATATTTTTTAGTAAAAATATATGAAGTATGAATTTTCTAAGAGAACACCACAACTAATAAATTTCCTTACCTTACTGAAGATATTTTACAGAGCCTATATAAAAGTTCACAACATGCAAAAGTAATCCATAAGTATTGATGTTAATTTGAAGCACTATTTAATTTTTTTTAATGTGAAAGATTTTTAAAAATTACACATGCATAGCTATGTTTAATAAGTATTTTGGGTACAGATCCAAAATTAATTAATTGTCTTAGTTAATTTTGACTATGTAAAGATGTTACTCTCTCTCCGTAAATTTTAATCATGGGAAACATTTTCTTTATTGACATACTTCACTGCAAGGCTCAAATTAAAATATATTTTTACCAGAAGTTATCACTTGTCCAGTTGTGTTCGAAGGAGAATTCTGTTTGGTTTCCTTTAGAAATTGAAATCATGGGTCTAAACCCATGATCTAGTTATTCAGCAATCTTTTTTGAAATACCCAGTGTGTATATTTATTTATTTATTTATTTTTAATTTTTCAGAACTTAAATTTTATAATCAGATTCTGGGAATTACATGCTTTCTGTCTTCATTTTGAATTTTCCTATTTTTTCCTCAAATGCTTTTTATTCTGATGAAATAGAGAGTAAGTATTCAATGATAAAGAAGTAGGAAAAAAATTGTTTGAATGATTTAAACCATTAAAAAAAGTTAAAAAAATTATTACCTAATTTATTTGTAAATTTTCCAATAGTATCTTCATTTCTAACATTTGCAGCAATGTAAGCACAACTTGATCCACTTTCCAGAAAGATTTTTAATGAATATGCAAGGCTTTCAAAAACTGATGGGTCGTATACTAAATCTATTCAATAAATTAAACAATTTTTATAATACCTATACAATGTATATATTGAACAAGGTCTTAAATTTTTCAAAGATGATACAGTCAACTCCTAAATTAAACGAGATAATACTGGAGATAGTATCTTCAGTTCAGTTAATGGCAATAAAAGAAACTCAGCATGGATAATTAATTCATATTGTAATTTAATAGAAGAATACTGTTTAAAATTTATCTATTTTCAAGCAGTTTAATCTTGAGAATAAGTTAATTTGGTTATGCAAATTAAATTAGCATTCATTCAAAGTTTTCTCTGTCAAGCAACCATGTCTAACCTCTGTCTCTCCATTTCTTTCCCACTTCACAGTCTACATGTTGCTTGTTTCTGTTCACAGTACTCTCATAATTTGACAGGAATTAGTGTGAAAGAAATGAATGATCTGTATACTTTAAAGTGTTTTTATGGTACTTCCTTAGACAACTGAATGTCAAACAGCTTTTCAAAATTTAAAGTATGCAATACTTTCAAGACCCATTTTAACTCTGTTTAATCCAAAATACCCTTGTCATTTATTTGTGGTTGCATCTAAGATGCTGTTGATGCAGTTTTAAAACAAGAACATCCAGATGGAACCTACATCCAATTGCTTTTCATTCTAGAAAATTAAGGTCTTATGAACAAAATTATGCAATTACTGAATTAGAGTGTTTGCTAATTATTGATGCTATAGACAAATTTTATTATTACGAACAAAATTATGCAATTACTGAATTAAGAGTGTTTGACGATTATTGATGCTATAGACAAATTTTATTATTATTTACATGGTAATCATTTTACCCTTTTCTGTACATACTGATCATGCTGCTTTAGTTTGGCTTAAGAATATTAAACACCCTACAAGTAGGTTATTTAGATGGTCTTTGAAATTATCTATGTATGACTTTGATATAAAGTATACAAAGGTTTTACTAATATTAAACTGATATGTTAACTGAAAACCCTATTTGTCAACATTTAAGTTTACGAGTTAATTTATTATCATTAGAAGAAATTAAAGAGCATCAAAATTTAGATAATGTATGCAATCCTAAGTATAAGAAAATTAATAATGTGTTAACTATTAAAAAGCAAGGATTATATAAAATTGAAATTCCAATATCACTTTGAACTAAATTACTTGAAAAAGCTCATATTAATTTTGGGCATATTGGTGTGTCCTCAATGCTAAATTTATTATCTCCTCAATACTATTGTTCAAGATGTTAGAAACTACTGTAAACATTGTGAAGTATGTCAGTTCAATAAGAAAAACAAACAAAAAAGATTTGGTTTAAAGCAAGCTTTACCATCTTTTAATAAACCTTCTGAATTATTATCTATTGATAATTGATTTTAAGAAATCATAATGTAAAACAATTATTAACTACTGCTAATAGATCTCAAACTAATTGTAAAGTTGAACAAGTTAAACAATTATAACTAGGCTAAAATGTAAATCAAATTCTTACCAAGGTAATATTAAACAATTATAACTAGGCTAAAATGTAAATGAAATTCTTACCAGGGTAATATTGCATGGACAAAATTAACAGTAACCTCGGGTTACTGAAGAATATAATAATACACCTCATTCTGTAACAAAATTCCCACCATCGTATTTAATGTATGGAAAATTACCTTATGATCCTCTACTTAAAAATAAAGAAGTATGTCCACCAAATGGAAAAGCTAGAAAAAATGCTCAATCATATAATATAAATTAAGAAAGATATTATGCCCATTATAAACCCATTAATTTTAAAATAGGTAATCTAGTAATGTATGAAGAATTTCAATATCCTAATACTCATAAACTTCCTCCTTTTCAGGCCCTTACAAAATTTTAAAACAATATTTTGAAGTTACTTTTGAAACAGAAAAGTCTAATCCTCTTAACTAAAAAAGAAATCAGAAATTGTTCACTCAGCCAGACTCAGATCTTTTAATCCAACTAGTAAATTTAAATTAACTGTTAGAAATAGTAGAATCCCTGTTTCTGTGCAATATTAATTAATTTTAGTTTTCCAAATTCTGCATTTAATTTTTTCCCAATTATGGCACTTTAAAACTTGATCAAGACTTTAAAACCTATTTATGACAATTTATTTTCCTGATTTTGACCTTTCTCAGACTGGCTCCTTTCCTTCTTCCCAGAGTTTTTCCGTATGTCCCCCATAGCCCAGGAGATGAGGACAGGAAAATATCTAATACGACATTTTCAAAATCTGGATTTAATACCCGATTCTCATTTAAAGACTACATGTTTTTATTCTTTTTTCTGACATGAACTTTTTATACTGTCTATTAGTCCTTGCATCTTCTCTTTAGGGAGGATACAAGAAGCAATAGCACATTCCCGCTGTCCCCCAAGGAATACTCCTAAAATTTTATTGTTTTATTTGTTAGGAGATTCAGCTATGGTTATGAAACTGACTTGTTATTTTTATTTTCTTTACCAGTCACGATCCTCTAACCATAGTTTAGCACAAAAGTGCTAGCACACACACACATACCTACAGTTTACATAATTTTAAAAACAAAATTTTCTTTTTTCTTTATTGTATGGTAATGTTTAATTATATTTTTGCAAAATTTAAAAGATTTTAACTTGATTATACAAGTATATTGTCTTAAATTTCAGTCTTAATTTTGTATTGTTATTAATTAATATGAAAGATTTTTGAAACAAAAGTTTTGACATTTGTACAATGCCCCAAACCAGTTACCTTTTTCTAAGGAATGGAGGTTTTTCTTTATATATTGTACTTAAGCATCCCCTAACCATCAGCAAGCTGGTATGCTGATGTTAAAGAGGACATGCCAGTTAAATGTCAAAGTATTATTGTGTTATTCAGTATTACATTATGTTTTATCTTGCATTTTTCTATTGCATTAAATATGCATATCCAAAATAAGAACTTATTTAAGTAATCAGAAATTGAGTATTATACGTCCACATGAAAGTTGGCAGCTCAATCCATGTTATAACAGAAATATTTTCATCAACAACATTTGAAAGACTTAAAAATTGGACATTTACCTTGTGGAATTATTTTCATCAATTACAAAATTTACATTGGACCTTTTTAACAACTCGAGGACTTTAAAAAAATTATATTTATATAATGTATTTATATTTTGTATATTTGTGTTACTTTATTATTTATTTTTATTTAGAGATTATATTGTAATAGTTGTCAATTATATGTTTAAGTATTTTGTAATCTATATATGAGAAAGGTCATGAACAATGACAGGCTATGTCTTTCCTCTTTCTTAGCTAATATACTAATGCTTTTTCTTCCACCATGCTCTCCCAATTTTTCTTTTGAAGGGGGGGGATATGTAAGCTATAACAAAATACAATGGCTGCTTTAAGAAATAATTGACGACCTCGAAATGAACTATTCTAGATTTGGTGTTCTCCCCCCTAAATTCTTCTTCCAAATTCGATATCTTTTCATGCTACATAACAACCTAAAATTGACTAATCACAGCTTCGAGTACTTTTTTTATCTACTTAGAATAAATACTCTTTGCAAAACTACATCATTCCTTCTCCTAGCTTCTACCCTGCAAACAACTCAGCGCCGCTTATGCTGTCCTGTCTAAAATGTTTAAGTCGTACTTTTAAAACCAGTGTAATATAAAAATTATTGTAATTGCTTATGATCAAAAAGTATTTTGTCTACTAAGAGAGATTCTAATTAGTAAATAGCTGAACTTGGTTTGTGTCAACATTTTTCTCCTACCATTACACTCAGCCACTGGATTTTATGTGCATTTCTCTTTCAAATAAAAGGATGCTGCCATCAAATGTTATTGATATATATTATTTTTAAAGGAATAATATAACAAATGTAAAAAAATATAGTGAATATAAAAAGAAATGTATGGCAACATTTAACATTCTCTGTGTATTCTTAAAGAAATTCTACTTTAAAAAAAAAAAAAAAATTGTGTGTGTAACTCAGTGATTTGTGAATTCAAAATATTAGGTGACTATGATCAATGCAATATTTTCAAACCAAAGTATGAGAACTGATGTGTAGATGATCAACGGAAAGAGACAGTTTACTCAAAACTTGTTGCTATTTTGAAAATTTCAGTCTTAACATGGAATTGGTGGGGGCATCTACACACTTAAAATACTACATATATAAAATTGACATTTGGTGGCCACAATTCACTTGGCATTCTAATCATGCCTGTTTTCAGAAAATTTTTTTAAAACTTGTGATAGGAAGAGAGCACAGCGAAATTGTGTCCAAGCAGCGCAGAGGGTGAAGCTAAAAATGCACATTTATTCAATATGGAAGTTTGTGAAGAGAAAGGTTTTTGGTTTAGGTTAGAGAAGTTTCAGATCTCAGAGTTTAGGTTCTGGAATAACTACATCATCAGCGTTATGAAAGCTCTGTGGCATAGATTAATCTAGGAATAGCACAATCCAGAAATTTTGTTATCTTTAGAATAGAGAGACAAGATACCCAAAATGTAAAATTCATAATGACCAAGAAACTTGGCAGTCATGGCGGATTAAATTGATATTTGTGGCCACAATTCACTTGGTACTCTAATCGTGCCTATTTCCAGAACATTTGCATTTCGAATACTATTTTTATAGGAAGAGAGCACAGCGTAACTGCACCCAAGCAGCACAGAGGGTGAAGGTAAAAGGGCGTATTTCTCTAATATAGGAGTCTAATATTTTCTAATATATGGCTACAGTCAAAAGTTGTTAATTCGGACACCCATAATCCAGACCTCAAAGCTACAAACTTTCTGCGCATGCATCGCATTGATGCATGCGCAGAAAGTAAGACCTTTATGGCTGCGAATATGCACGTGCGCATGCGCATAATATGTTTATGCATACGCTTTTAATGTATAACAGACGGTATAAGCTAAGCTAAAATTATCTAATTCAGTTAACGTTGCAGATTGCGTTGTTCCTTAATCTTCGAATTGGATCCGGCTTATTATTTTTTGCAGACTGTTAGAGCAATTTTATAAAAGTAAGCTTGAACTTTCGATTATGTCAAAAAGAATTTCCGATATATATTTACTAATATGTAAAGGATCTACAAAGCGAAAGTATGTTTCGAAGTACATCAAACAAAAAGTTGAATTGCTGGGGGAAAAAAAAAAAAAATGGATAAAGGCACATCCTTCGTTTCTCTAACCATTCCGAAATCTGTTTATCAATTTCACCCTGCTCTGCGGCCGGGGGGGGGGGACGCCACTGCATGCAATGAATTGGAAGTTGATCTGTCAGCACTATCCTTATCTTCAGAGCAGATGTTTTTATTTTATTTGGCTTATAATTCCTCATTAAATGTAGTATTTCATCTCAATGTACTCCGTCTTTGATATGATTTAAATCAAATTTCTCGTCATTATAATTCGCTTCCGATAGTGAAGAAAGTGACACAGAGGTTATTGAAAAACAAAAAAATTTCAATTGACAAATTAGTTGGTATTCTCGACACAGCAATTATAGGACTTGAACAGCGGAACTTTGTAACTGAAGAAGAAATTATGTCTGTTTATAGAATTAAAGAGAAAGTATAGTCACATAAAACGAAGCAACTTAAACAACTTACATTGAAAGAAATGTTTAATAAAGTAAACAACTAAATATTAAGCCTTTTTTTTGTAAATTTCTTTAGATCATAATTGTTTTTTATTTCATAAATTATGGTTTCAAATTTTTATAATTTCTGCATGCCATCTTACCAGATTTAAACTGATGATCTATAATCTGGAATCGCCGAAGTCCCGACGAGTCCGGATCAACGACTTTTGACTGCATTTGGTTTAGGTTTGCAATTAGAATTCTTTCTCTTCAATATGGATATATGCTCTAAGCTATATACATGTTGCATAATCATTGCTTTTACGTTTCAGTGTTCCTACATGAGTATTTCTAAATGTGTTTTTTATTACATAATATTTATTTATTTCATCTTTTTAGTGTATATCTGAGCAATTACTATTATTTTATAAATGATGCATGATGTTTCATTTATAAAATAATAGTGGGTAAATAATATTTGCCCACATGTATATAATAATAAATATTGCTATTTCTTACCAAGTTACACTTAAGCAATTTACAAAATATACATTATACCATTTTGTAGATTTTTTATCTCTAGTACATTCTGCTACTTTTCATAATAAGCAAATAATGAAAAACAAACGTCATCAGAAAATGCAAGTGCATTTTGTAGGGAAGAGATGTTATAACAGTCACACAGCATTGCATGTGCAAAAACAAAGTGTGTAAACTGATGGTAAACAATCTAGAAGATTCTTAATTTTAGATAGTAATCAGAAGTTGAGGACTCCTTATATATATACTGCAGATTCTATACTGTTATGGATAAAATCAACTCCCAAACATTATCATACCATTCACTATCACTGCTCTTAGCCCATCATTTTCTATAATTTGTTTTATATTAATGTTTCTTAATAATAATTTTTTCATCAATTCAGGACAAACAACCATACATATATTTTTTTTTTCTTTTTCAAATAGTCTTGTATTTATACAAGTAATAAGAAGCTGAACTAATTGTTATTCTTTGAAAATTCAGGAATCGTTCTTACCTGCTCCCAGAATAATTTCTGGTGATAATTGAACAGTATCTTCTTTACAAACATTTGCCCAAACTAACTGGTGTAACTGAATATTTGGATTTTCTTTCTCATCTTGAATATTGAGTTTTATATTTGAAGACAGAATTTTTAATACTTCCCAACTTTTATCAGTGAATATATATTTTGATGGTTCACAGAGTTTCAAAACAGTTAGTCCTAAAAGACCAATACCAGATCCAAGTTCCAATACAGATCTGAAATGAAATTGGAAAACAAGAAAACTTTCATGACAGTTATAGTTACAGATTAAAACTGACTGCAAAATTTTATGTTTTAACTGTATAATATTTTAAAACTACAGTAGATAAAAAATCGTTTTGAAGTTATTCTGGAAAAATGCGAACTGTTTTCAAGTTTTGGTTTATTTTCAATTTTAAAGTGTTGACTGCAGAAGAACATGTAGCTAACTGTATAGCTATCATTAATTAATTTAATCATACTAAAAATTTTAGTTATTAAAAACACTGCAGTGTTTGAAAGATAAACTTGCACAAAATTTTTATTTACTTGTTTTCCTTTCTATGGGTCTGATAGATTAATTTGTTACTCCATAGAAAACTCTAGACAAGGCATAAACGTGCACTATGAAGAACTGGCTGCACTGAATGCAGTGATACCTTCATTTTTGTAGGCACTCAATCCAGAAGCGGATCAAAAGTATCCTAACCTTTAGGATAACAAAATGCTAAAAATATTAATTATTTATACATATTAAAATACGATTATCAACATTAAACATCCTAATTATTTAAATATTTTTGCTTTATAACACAATTCAAGAATCCCAATAATTTAAAATCTTTACTGTATAACACAATTCAATTTAAAAATGCGATAAAAGTAGCAATCTAGCTAAAAAGTAACTAATATCTCTAAAATATCTTACCTATATTTAAAATTATTCAGAATCAGAAAAATTCTATCACAAAAGGTATTTGTTCTTGGATCTATGTTCTAATGTATGTAATGTATATATGCTGCCAATTTTGGATTTCTCAAGTACGTAAGACAGTTGATGTTAACACTAAAAATTAATCGTTACTGCTTATTTTACATGTTGTAAATTTTTTTTGAAACACATCAGAGAATTGAGTTATCATTATATTTTACAAAAAGACTAACTATTACTATAAGTGAAAGGCAATTAAAATATATTTGCAAAATGTAACTTACTTATTTTTTAAAAGAGATACATTTCTTATACACCACTCAGAAAGGTATTTAGCTGCCTAAAGTTTTGGATGAAATACAAGTATAAATAAAAATAATAATGCATTTAAAAAAGAAAGAAAAAAAAAGTTCAGAATAAAGTAATAAACCAACCTCCCATGTCTGAAGACCTGTTGTACTGTTTTCAACAAAGCAAGAACTCTCTTGCAGCGTAATAATATGCTTACGATTCTATGAAGAAAAATCTCTCTTAAATAATAAATATAAAAAGAGATTTATACTCTAACAATACTTTAATATTTCAAGCTTTAAGTGGTATCCTCCATAATTTTAAAATTAAACAGCGAAATATACGTAATGAGAAAATGAAATAATCTTTAAACATTAGTTTTAAATTTTAAAAGAAGAAATCTATAAAGATATGTGCACAAACTTTAGATATTTGCGAAAGTATTTGTTTCCATCACTTTTCATTTATAATTATGTCACCTCCTGCCATTCCGAGCACGATGTGTTTTTTTTTTTCTTTTAACACTACTCACCATGGCAGAAAATTAATCTTCACTCCTTTGGTAGTTTTATCCACACATTTATTACACAACACAATTAAAACAAATACCACTATTATACATTAAGATATACATAATGTACATGCAAGATGTATATGCAAGATAAAAAAAAATGCAAATCAAAATTATAATTTAAAATGACTCTTAATTGCTCATTTGATTTAAATTTTTTTAATCTTACACACACACACACACACACACACACATATATATATATATATATATATATTGTTAGGCATGCAAAACATGTTTTAGTTATATCTTTCAAACGGCCTGCTTTACGGTCCACTCGCAAGTTTCAAGTGCTCGTTTTCACCCCACCAGTGTTCCTCGACTGGGGGTGTTTTCGGGGGTCACTACATCACTTCTCTTATCAGTCTCTCACCCCTTGCAAATAAAAGGTTCTCAAAAAGTCTTTTGCTAAGGGAAGGAACTTCACAAATTAGATCACTGTTAAATCATCAGCACATGATTAAGCAACTTAAAAAAAAAACTTCAGTATATGTCCGCTTTGAAATACAAAGTAACCAAAAAAGTTCTTGTCATTTCTGATATGACATTGGAAGAATGAATCCCAATATAAAAATAGTCACCAAACCTGGCGATGAAGTGGTTAGGATGGGAGTCCGGACATTGACCAAGAGTATAAAAGTGCATTGCATCAGTACTTCAAATGTAACTCACACAGCAACTGATTGATGGTGCTTATTTGGAGTTGTTTGAAAAGTGCGTTGCATCAGTACTTCAAACGTAACTCACACAGCAACTGATTGAAGTAGATGCAACTGATTGATGGTGCTTATTTGGAGTTGTTTGCTGTATGATTTTAAAGTGCGGCTGTCATGAGCAGAATCGCCGAATTTGCCAGGCCTTTGGGGATGATGCCATTAACGAACAAACCACTAGGCAATGGTTCCAGAAGTTCAGGTTAGGGGATATGTCTCTTAGTAACTATTTTTGCAGTTACTCTGAAAATCAATCTGGATTTATCTATTAGCAATAAGAATGTCTATTAATCTGAATCCCTCTTGAAATCAGCTGTTTTTTGTAAATAATTATATCTGGCTAAAAGTGAGAGGTACAGATACTGTTTGTTGTTTTGCTTAAAGACATCCTTTGTAAAATTCCAAATAATACCAAGCTGATAACAATGGTCCTCTTGCTTAATGGTGGACAGATAATTAATAGAACTGGGATAGCCATTCTTTTCCATCAGCACGCATATGTGATTATCCTTTGCAGCAGGCTTTTCTGAACTATACCTTTGAAATATTATTTCAAAAATTTAGAAATGATTGTAAAAAGGCTGCAAATCAAGACAGTAGCTCATGTTCAACAACCTGATTTTTGTTTTTACCAAGTTTGTTGGCCTCTTAACTAAAAATTAATATTTATGTATTTATCTGTTAAATAACAGACAACAGATTAGGCAAAATAGCTGCCTTAAATTAGCTTAGATTTTGAACAGGACTCTGTTGATTTAAGGAAGATCAAATGTAAGTCCCTCTTTTCATGTAACAAAATTTGGAAGATTAATTTAGTGTCAAAGGTGAATTTTCTGTACTTATTTCTTGCCTTTTATTGGATTCCATGAAAAGTTCTGGTTATTTAGGAGCAGGTCATGAATATTTGTTCTTCATCAAACTAGAAGTTGTTCATTGCAAAATAAAAGTAATTATCCACATCAGTTATCTTCTACCAAGACCTGACAGATTTTACATCTTGTCTGTAGCGTTGAATTAGCATGGAAGCTGCAGGCCACTCATTCACTCCTATTTGTTAATGATGACCTGTTTCTCAAGAGCACTACTTAGTTACTGGAAAATGTGGTAGTCTGCTAATGCAAGATCTCAGCCATAAGGCAAAACTTTCCAAATAAAGTAAATCCAGAAGCTACAAGAGTCATGCATTCTTATAAAGAAATAAGTAGCACCATGCTGTAGGTGCATTTCAAAGAGTTTACCAGCCGGATGACTGGTTATACAGTTTGGCAGTGATACAGTTATTATCACTTTACATCAACAGATCCTTATTTGATTTATGACCTAGATGGTTTACTCTCAAGAGTTTGTTTAAGGATCATTTCTCATTCATTGTGATTATGGAACTGAGGCAGACTTAACTGTATTAGTAAAAACTGCACAGAAGAAGTAGCTTCTGCATGTAAAAAAAATCACCTTAGTGCTAATGACTGTTCATAAAGCCAGATGAAGACTGGCGTACCACTGATGTTTGCAAATCCTTAAGGACTCTATAAACTTGCATAATGCAAATCCTTAAGGACTCTATAAATTTGCATAATATTGGGCTTGCTAAAATACACCATCAAACGTTGCCTTGAAATGGGCTAATCTTTACACAGTACTGCTATAGCAGGAGTTTGACCTGAATGTTTCGCTAGCATAACATTCAATATTTAGTTTAACATCCTCGTCAACATCTATTTCAGAGCCATGGAAAAGAATAATGAACGTGAAAAAAACATGACAGATTCAAAGGCACATCTAAGCTCAAGCTCAAAGATGAGATTTTCCTGAATATGTGTTAGAGTTGTCTCATATCCTATTTTTACATGACTTACATGAAGAATTTCAAGAATATTTTGATGAAGATAATTTTTAACGAGTTTTGATATAGCCAGAATTTTCCAAGCAATTCAGCAGTAAAACAAACAAAATCCTTCTGGAAATTTTGGAAGAAAATAAAAATACAAAATTTGTAAACATAAACTAATCTTTACAAAACTATACAGTTTAAACTTTCAAATGCTCATGAATGGAAAGTGGCTGAAATTCAAACAATTATTTTTATGTAAAATTGCTAAGTGGATTTGGATTTTGGGGATTACAACAAAGCACATAAGGGCTATCTGCCTCAAAAGGAGGCCTTCATGAAAGATATTTTAAGGTCCTGTATTCACATAATACGTGGGAACATCTATGAAACTTATTCATATTACGCATGGGAAAAACAATGCAACTACCGTTTATCAAGATTTGAACCTGGGCTGAATTACTGTATTCAATGATTTTATCACTTAAGGGCATGTCAATACAATCAAATTTCCAGTTAGCAGACACCCAGAAACAGAAGCTATTATTTATTATGAGAAGAGTGTCTGTAAAATAGAAGTGTACTGATCTCCTATTTTGAGGGTCCAGAGGTTCAGGAACTGTCCATTGATGGGAAATATTCCATTAAAACAGAATGCGTGTTACCAGGTATTTCTTTGCATTTATAATTTAATTTAGAACAGTGGAATGGTGTACTATCCATGGTTCACAAAGGCTTATTACTTACAATTAAATAAGAACAGTAACTAATATCTTTTTTAGCAGGCATCAAGAAAACAGATGAATATGCAGTCATAAGGGCATCTGAAAGATCAGATCCAGATGCTTCAACCTATTAAAAGAAATAAATTTTCAAAACAATAAAAGTAATTGTAAACATTTATTATATTTTAAATACAATATTATCCCATATAAATATTATATTTAAAATATAATTTCTATGGTAACTAAAAAAATTAATAAAACTAATAGTAAACATTTCTTATATTTTAAAATTTATTATCTCATACAAATATTATATTTAAAATATAATTGCTATATAACTAATAAACTTTTTCTCAAATTACCATCCAAAATTAAACAAACTTATTTAAAAATTCGGTTTGAGTAGAGAGAAGGGTACCCCTTATATTATTATTCCCAAGTTGTTATTTTACTTATGGTAGCCTAAGTAGTTGAATGTTATGAAAACCCTATTATAAACACAACTGGTTGATTGATTGCAGTAAATTCGTAAGGGCTGGTGGTGTGTGTGTGTTGGTTAGAAAGTATGTTGCTTGTTTTGTGGTTTAGATGGTAAAATGGGTGGTAAGATTAATTTGAAGTTTCTGTATGATTTGTAAAGAAAGGGGAAAAGAGCATTACTTGACTGGTGTGTAAATGAAGGTTTACTTAGTAGCCATTATTAGGTGTCCTGTTTGTAGGAAGGAAATGCATGTGGTTGAATGTCAGAAATGCATATGGTCGAACATCGCTACGGATGATATTTTTTACTCTTATTTTGAGAATTTATGTGGTGATGCCAGCACACAGATTCTAGTTCAGATAATTTTAGGAAGTTTTTGGATACTGTTAAAGAATTTTGTTTGACTGAAAACATATTCATTCGTAAATAATGTAAGTGGATATTTCTTTTGTGTAGTGCAAAGGTGAATGGAACTGTTCTTATATGCACCCTCAGGTTGGCAAAAAACCAGGTTTTGAATACACAATTTAAGCTAAAAATCTGACACAAAAACAAAAAATTTAGATAGCAAAAACGTAAAGTTTCTAACCAAAAATATTTGACAAGAATCTATGTACACAGCAATATGTTTTAAGTAAAAAAAAAAAAAAAAACCTACGAATTGCACAATTTAGACAACAAACGAATCTATGAACTACACACACCTCGCTTTAATAAATTAACATAACAACAATAAATTTCAAAGAATACCATGCACACAGATTCCTGTTTATACTTAAAAAAAATCTGTGAATTACACAATCTAGTCATTGCGCACAAATCAACAAAATAAACTAAAATAACTCAAATTACAAACAGTTCAAAAAACAACAATAACATCAGAAATTCATAGTAAAAAAAAACAATGAACATAACATTCTACAAAATAAAAACAGTAAAACAAAATGCATTTACCATAATACATTCGTTAATAAAATTTCACCAGTCACACAACGTCTGTGAACATAAGTGCCACAATTTTGCTATATCAAATCTCTTTCTGCGATTCAAAATTTTGAAAGTAACGATAAAAACTTCCTCCAAAGTTAACTTACTACACGAAAACCACGATCCAAATCTTAAACTCCGCTGACAGCCACATGCTTTACCAGCAAGCATTTGACTGCAAATCCACACAAGAACTATCAGAACGCTACCCTTCTTCGTTTAAGTTCTCATAGCAGCTCCGCATTTCGGTCTCCGTTTTAAAAGTCCCACAGATATTCCAAAAATACTCTTCGATCCTCATAAACACACCCCGTGAACAAAAGACTCATTAACAACTCCAACATCGTACCTTTTGATACTAAATTTACTTCCCACACAATCTAAAATACGCAACTGAAATCTTGCCACCACGTCTATCATTGCAACATAGGCCATTTCAAAACACGCATGACACGAACCAATGAGCAATTAAATTACTGCAGCAAAAAAGAGTTAAGTTTCAATGTCAAAAGCGTTGCCATACAAACAACATTGTCCCTAAAACCAGCTCAGAACATATATCGCCACATTTGGTGATCTTAGGGTGAATATAAGAGTAGAGCCAGATGAATTTCCCTGTAGTCATTGTTTGATTTTCAACAAAAAATATATATAATCTGTAGTTTACTGAGATTATATATTTTTTGTTTGTTTGCTGCGCCTTTGACTTTTTAAGCAAATATAGTTCGATGTGTACATGGACAAAGTCAAGAGAGTGCGCAATGCCTAGTTTATGCAATTCTCTGATTTTTTTCAAGTGAAAATAGGTTGATGTGTACATGGATAAAGTCAAGGGAGTGCACAATGTCAAGTTTGTGCAATTCTCTGATTTTTTTTAAAGTGAAAATAGGTCAATGTGTGCATGGATATTAAGTCTGTGCAATTCTTTGTCTATATTTTGGCTTTGTGTAGTGGCAAATTTTGGTGCAAAAATCACCGCCTACACAAGTCAAACAACTGCACAAACTCAACATCCATGTACCGCCAAAAGGGGTACCCGTAAATATATTTTTTACCAAAAATTCATATTTTTTCCAATTAACTGAATCCTAAATTGCTTACTCTAGCTTATTCAAGATGAATATAAATACCTTGTACTATCACATGAAATAATTTCTATCTTTAATACAATTCATTAAGCCATGTACAATTAGATCAAGTTATCAGCAATGCAATATTTCTTCATTTAAATATATCACTCAATACAAAATGTTTGAGCTATTAAAATAATTAAAAATAAATATTTGAAATTATTTTAGTTCAGTTCTTGGAAAACTAAGGCACATTCAAGTTTAATTATAACAATAGATGCTCATGCAAAAGAATAATAAGAGAAATCTAGGTCTCATATATTGTACCTGGATTTCCAACATTTCTGAAGCTTCAAAGTAGAGGTGATAACTTATGAAATGTAAAAATTTCTTACATCCATGTTTAGTCACAGCCAATATCATTTGATGTTGGCCATGACCAAATATCAATTTTTATTCCTTTCAACTATTCAATCATAAGGAGATGACCAAGACATTTTAATACAAAAAAAAAAAAAAAAAAAAAAAAAAACTAAAACATCTCTTATTTGGAAACAGAAGATGGGAGGATGGTTTCATTTTAATTCCCATTCACTTTCACTAAGGTGGGGGAAAATATATGCCATACAATAATATAACTTATAATATTACTAATAATATACAATAATATTATATATGAAAGGTAGATAATTACACAGTTTTTGAGTAAAAAACCACTCACACTAAACCAAACTGATCAAATGAATCCTAAACTGATCATCCATTGAAAAGAAAGGAATTCTGATCAATCTCCAGCATTTTTTTTTTTTTTCCTGAGAATGCTACAGAGCATGTTATTGAAAAAGAAGGTAGATCCACTTTCAAGCATAAAATTATTGAAGATACCAGAAAGTATATTTCTGAAATATAGTGAAATTATCAGTGCATTGAATTAAGACTTTTTACAAGTATGTGGCAATTAAAAAAAAAAAAAAAATTGCAGAAAAAAAGTTTGGCAAGAGTTTGAGATCTGTTTTCAAAAGAAATTGATACTGCAGTAAGCAAGGTATAAACTTGATATTACAGAGCCGCAGTATGATACTAATTTAAGATAATTTTGAGCCATAGAAGCTAAGCATTATCTTGTTAGAATATGGGTCCAGAGTTATGTGCTATAAAGGGAAACATGACTCAGTTAGATTTAAAAATGTTACTGTACTGTTAAAGTTGTATGCATGGTAACTTTGGACAACCTTCTATCATGAAAGATAGCTTCCTGTACCATCACACCCGAAGTATTATCGGCTAATCTTTGGAATATGGTAACAGGTAGTTTGGCGACATTTTGGTAAGGCGATAAAGGTTACTAGCTAGGGCTTTAGCAGTGTACATGGATAAAGTCAAGAGTGTGCGCAATGCCATTTTTGTGCAATTCTGGGATTTTTTTAAAGTGAAAATAGGTCAACGTGTACATGGATACCATGTATGAGCAATTCTTAAAAACGTGGCAAGCAGTTTGCGATTCTGCACTTTCTCCCAATTTCGCACCTAATCTTCGTCATGATTAAGCACTTTTGTTCCATAAAAGTTCTATCATAAGCATAATTCGGCTAGCAGATTGTTCAGGCAAAATGTTGAGTTAAAAAAAAGCCTTTGCTTTGTGAAAACAAAATGTTGTCCAAACAAAAACTAGCAGGTTGCTATAGCAGGGTTGGTCGCGAAAACCTCGCCAAGTTACCATAATTCAAAGATTAACCTATTATCTTTGAGCCTCTGTAGATAATCTGTTTGAAAGCACTGGTACTACCTTCTCCACGTGCAGATGTAATGAATTATTTCCCTCAATATTAAAATAAGATTCAGCACTGAAGACAATACAATGACAGTGAGCAGCTAATCATCATCTTCAACAGCATAGCATTATTCCAAATGATGCTGGGGATAGTAAAGGTAGGTATCAATTTTGAGGTTATTAACAGGCAACATTAATGTTACCTTGATTACACCAGGCACCATGAAATGGTGGAGGACAATATAGCTGATATAAAAGGAACTAAAGCCCCCTGTGTTGTGGACAATGAAGTCATTCAGGCTTGTTGCACAATCAAAACGTCCAAGTGCAACTTAATGGCATTACTAGAAAACATTATCAGTAAATATAACATTACAGTAAAGAAAACTCTTCATTATAACTTAACATCTACTAATCACAAAACTTTCATCATTTACAAACTTAGAAAAGAAAAACTTAGACTGACTTTTTTTTTTTTTTTTAACTGGGTGCTTTGTTATATTTTTGCAGAGTGTGTATAATTGACATTCCTACTAATATTACTCGATTTTCTTACAGAGATATGACAAAGACTATATAGACTACCTTGCATGTGAGCACTGTTTTTATGGAAAACAGTTTTATAGTTATCAAAAAGTGAACACTAAAAACATACAGCCAGCTCATTTTAAGAGGAACTGAATCCAAACCTACTGCCACTAATAGTTTTATCACCGATACAATGTACAGTTTATTAAGTGGCCATTAATGAATCTACCTTTTAGACCAACAACAATGTCTAAAACATCAAAATATATGAAAGCAATATCATCGGTAGCCCAAAAGAACCCAAAAACTATAAATCAGTATTTTTACAATTTTATATTCGGAAATTCTTTGCTACTTTTAAGTTGGCAGAGTTACATATACATTCTTTTTTAATGCTGCAATACTACTACTCAGAAATTAACTTTTGTACTCGAGAAAATCCCCTTAAAAACAGATAACTTACCATATCAAAAAGAACGCGTAAAAAAGACTTCTGAAAGGATACCGGTGGAGGATATTTCTTACATACTTCATTCCTCACAGTAACATCTAAAATTCTCTCTTGTACATCCACACTTAAAACTGGTATATCCTGCAATGAACTGCTGTTATGCATTTTAGGCAAAACAAAAGGTAATGGCAGTAAAATGTATGATACAAATACAAATATTTAAAGCTGATTCTTACCAACATTTTTAAGGCAGATTTTATCAGTTCTTTATTGTTTACAGCTGACAGATACAACTTTTCCATATAATCAAATGTAGACATTGTCATTTGTTAATTTACATTTAATATAAAAAAAACTATATATCGTCAACAGTATAACAGCATTTTCCCCACTCCTATATAGTTTAAAGCACTATTAACTACAGTTTCTAGGAAATCCCAGCTATCCCGTAGAATATACTTTTGCGACGTTGTCGTACCTTGCAGGTTATTTAACAGCTGAAACCACATGGCTACAATGCAAACACGGCAACATAAACAGTTCGATTCTGGTTGCCAGATATTTTCGCTAAATTATAGCAGAGCTTTTTCAATGAGGTTAGAATCAAGGAGGTTAGAAATCCCCCGCTATTGTTGAATTTTTGTTTTAAAGTAATAAAGATGATATCCATAATTTACTATGTACAGCAAATTGTTAAGAAATAGTTCGAAATCTAAATGCATGCGCATAACATTAAAGCCTTTAAAAAATGATGTTTCTGCATATTTCACGGATTCGCTTAGGTTAGAAAATAAATCTTAATAAAATAAAACAGAATTCATTGATTTCAGTTTATGCGCATTTCATATTTATTAATCTCAAAGAAACTGCCTTTAATTAAGTTGAATTACAGAAATACACCTATATAAGTTTTTGGATACATCTTTCCACATGTTCAATTGTGTAAATATTTTACTTAATTTTATCACTATACTGCTCAGAAATTTGTAAGTTTATACAAAAAAAAAATTTTAACAACAGAACAGTTTATCTTAACTTAAAAAAATGAATAATAATTAATATATAAAGAAAAGAAAGCATTGCTTTATTTAACACCTTTACAATTAATAAAAATAGTAACAATTGATTTCTTACTTTTCATGAAAGTTATAAAACGAATTAACTAAAACGTTCAAATTATACAATTTAAATCCTACCATATAGCATTGTATCTTAAGGAACGAAGATACCAGCTATAAACAGAAACATTAAAATGTATTTAATATATTTTGATTATAGTTATATTAAATAACCTATTTTAAGTCCTTTTTTTCACATCTGGAAAGAAAACCACATGACATTGTGATATTTTTTGACATAGTTGTCATATTACATAAAAAAAAAGAAAATTAATACTTACGTGTGAAAAATAATGCCCGGAATTTTTTTCGAGAATCTATTTGTGCATCCATATGCAATACAAGCTGACATGCTTCAAAAAGAAAAGAAAAAAATGTTGCAATGACAGATTTCCTTGCACAAGTCACGGTGATAACAGGAAGATGGCCGCCAAGCTTCACCGTTTGAGTTGAACCTTCCCTCCTTCTATTCTAACCTCCTTGTAGAGAAGCCGGTGTGTGTTATCGGCGAATAGCTTGACATTTGCATAGAGGTAGGAAGAAAGATGGAGTCGCCCTAAACAAGTTTCTCCGTACCCTGCTCTGAAGCACCGGCGATCCCTACGTGGTGACCAAAACATTGGGTCATTTACCATTGAGTTCTATGGGATTTGATGCGTTCGGGTGTAAATATTTTGTAATTATGTCGCAAATATACATATAAATGTATATATTTTCTTTTTCTACAACACTTCAGAGTCCTAAGTATGTGAAAACAACATTTCATTCTGAACGGAATTAATGCTATACTTTTCACAGGACAGTTTTTCTCAGAATGGTTTAATTGAATGAAATATTTTCACAAGTTTTCGTTAATTACGTTAGAAAAAAAAAATAAGGTAATTCGATTTTATTCGGTTAAGGTACAAAAATTAAGATCAAGTTTATTGTATTATTAATATTAAAATTATGCATTATTTCTTTTCTATTTATAGAGCTTCTTCCTAAAATACTTTCTTAAATATGACATGATTTTTTGGCTTCTTTTAAATCGAAAAATGTAAGTCAATTTATAATTAATGCTCTATTCGGTTCATTTTAAATTAGAGAATTATTAGGAATTAGCGAAATACTTTAAATAAGTATTTTGCTAATTCCTAATAATTAAATAGGTATTAAATAGTATTTGACTTTCTCTGAACATTTCTGAAAGGGAATAAAATAAGTTTTTTTTTTTTTTTTTTTTTTTTTTTAAGTATTATTTAAAACTTGTAACTGAGTTATTATAAAATGTAAAGGGTATAATTCTTTTAATTATATTTATCAGATTTTTTTTTTACCCTTCATTTCAACAATACATATTCCAAAACTCTTTATTACGTTCTTAAGTGCGCATCTCATAGCATTTGCTTTACAATACCTTTTAACAGATTGCTTTCCAATACGAACAATTCTTGCTTAAATAGTTTTATAACGTATTTGTCAACAGGATTTCAATTTATGTTTACAATTCAATATTAAGGTTATTATATATTTAGATAACATTTATAATCATTATAAATTAAAACATTTAATCATTAGATTTCTTCACAGTACTTTCACAGTTGTTTATAAGTGAATAAATTCTTCATTTCAAATACTTTTATAAATAATTTAATGAATATTTACGTATTTTGTCAAAGGCAGATACATGCTTTTTGCAAGCACATGCATAAATACCCATACATATTCCTATTTATCATTTCCGGCATGAGCAAATCTTTTAATTTCTGTGCATTCACTATATTTTTCGTGTAAAGTAATTAACACTAATTTAGCATACACCCGAAAGTTTTACATAAAAAATATATATGAATATAATTTGAATGAAAATTATAAGTATTATTTTTAATACCCACTCAAAGGTCAGTTTTTCTTCAAAATTCCTCCACGATGGCATCTCTCTCTTTAGGCAGATAGCCCTTGCATGCGTTACTCTATTTAATAAAAACTTAATCTGACCTATGTGCCTAATTACAAATATTTTAACATACATAATTTTATATTTACATTTAGCCGTCAAGTTTCAAACTTTTCAAATATTCTAGAAAATAAATTTTGGCAGATCTCGTTTAGCAATTTTCTTAAAATCTATATTTTTTGTAGTGCAACAGCTTAGAATTTTATAAAACAAATTCATAATCAAAATCGCTGTGTGTTAGTTATCGAAAAATAACCAAGATGTGATTTTTGCGTAAATGTCAGTAAACTATACAAATTGCTATTATCCATTACACTATGAATGTTTCTTCATGCGAGAGTGTCCCTTTTTCAATTTCTATGGAACTGTCGTGTGTCGAAATACTATCAGAATCTTGTCAAGCGAGCTTCTGAATGTAAACAAAGAACACCCCGTCTGGTGACCCAAGCTTCAAAGCAGTGCTTCACTTCTAGCGCGGAATGGCCTCTCCTCCCTTTCCTACCTCCATGGACATTTGAGCAGGAGCAATGCTGCTATTAGACGATGTTGACAGGAATGAGTGAATCATGGCCGCACACAGCGTCAAAAAAGAAGCGGTAGGCCTAGAGAAACGACAGAACGTGAAGACCGAGCAATTGTCAGAGCAGCATTCACAGCCCCAGATTATTATTATTATATCAGCGATTTTACGTGCAACTTGTGCTTCAGTGACCGCAAGGATCATTCATAGAGGGCTTACAGAAAGTGGGCTGAGGTCACGGCGCCCCTTGCGTCGACTACCATTGATCTCTGTACGACGTCAAGCCCGTTTGCCGTGGTTTCGGGCTCTTTCGCACTGAATTGTCACTGACTGGAGTAGATTAGTCTTCCGTGATGAGTCTCACTTTGAACTGAGCCCCGATGACCAGCGAAGGTCAGCCAGGAGACGCCCCGGACAGCAGTGTGATACCAACCTGAGTGTCTTGCGGCAGACAGGCCGACAACCAGAAGTGATGGTCTGGGGTGCCATTTCATTCATAGTAGGATCCCTTTAGTTGTCGGGCTCACCAGCGGCCGACCGGTAAAGTCGCTGAACACTGGTAGTTCGGTCCGAGGTTCGAATCCCGCGAACGGGCTGGCTGCATGGGTGTTTTCGTGGTTTTCCCCATGTGTAACGTGTATACGAGCCAGTTTCCATTAGAAAGTCATCCACGAAGGCATCCTTTCCCCTTAGGCAGATAGCCCTAGTGTGCTATGCCATAATTAAATACACCTTTAGTTGTCATCCGTCGCAACCATACAGCACAGCGATAGGTCGACGAAGTTCTAAGGTCCGTTGTGTTGCCCTTCATGTCACGCCCACCCTGAGCTTACATTTCAGCAAGATAATACCCGCCACCACATTGCACATGTTTCTACTGCTTGCCCTAGTGCTTGCCGAACATAACTTTGGCCGGCATGGTCGTCGGATCTCTTTCGTATTGAGGACGTTTGGAGCATTATGGGCAGGGCCCTCCAAACAGCTCGGGATGGTGACGATCTAACGCGGCAATTCAACCAAATTTAGCGCTATATCGCTCAGGAAGACATCCAAAACCTCTATCAATCGATACCAAGCTGAATAACTGCTTGCATAAGGGCTAAAGGTGAACAAACGCGTTACTGACGTTTTCAAACGTTTGCGAGTCGTTTGAGAGTAGGGTCAGTTTAAATGATTAAATGCATACTTGCACTGTTTACAAATTCTGCGTTTACAGAGCGGATATATTACATTCAACAATTGCTAATAACAATTATTAAAGGAATTTCAGCGTTTCAAATATGAAAGTCAGAATATTTTCAACCGCGCCCATAGTCTACTCACCTCCTCCGTGATTACACTTATTTTTATACTTTCTTTTATTGTCTGTTTCATATTTTGTAAATCCTTTAACAAATTTTTAAATAACAAATTCAACGATTTCAAAGTGAGCAGTGTCCACTCTGTACGAAAAAACATTTTTATCTCAAGCGCGCGAGGCTGCCTATATTCTAAAGATATACTGTTTTTAAATATTTTGTGATTTTGTAGTTGTATCGAATTTTAGGTAAGTTAAGCACCAAGAATAGTATATTTAATGCATAAAGTAAGCGCACAAAATATTAATAACAAAAAGACAAAATATGTTTGGTACGTTCATCTCAGCAAGAAAACACTGAGGTGATAAACTGAGAAGAGACAAAAAAAAAAAAAAAAAAAAAAGTAGTAGAGAGAGAGAAATGTATGCCAACACTTAACGCTGCATCAGGAGCTCTAAATGTATATTGTTATACTGCTTTTATAACTTTTGTAACATTGATACTGTATTATACTTGGCGTAAGGGCGAGGAAAATTATGCTTCGTAATGTAGTTAAAAGAAACATAAAATGGGTTAGTAGGAGTGACTCTAACTGTGGACTGGTGAAACGCGAGCTGAGCGAGTGACCGTTAAAACTTCTTTTCCAGC